ATGTGCTGGACTTTGTTTTTGTCATTGACCTGTTGTGGGTGAAAAAGAAAGAAATGAGAAACCATCAAATATGCATGAAATAAGAGGATTTTCAATGAAAACTTAAGATGTTCCAAGGTAGATAACTCTGAAGAGTGTCAGATTTATCAGCAAAGGACTTAATCGAAGGTACAAAATCTTTAACAGCTGCAAGAGGAGAGGCACTGCTGCTACAGCTATCTTAAACTTGAAAAATATATTAATTTCCTTTATTTCTACCCATTGCAGGACATTCATAGTCAATTTTAAGTTAAACTAGAAGGACAAACAGAGGCTCAACTTCGTCACAACATGGGCAACGTGTGTAGTTCCGGCCAGAAGAAAAAGAAGGACAAGGACAGTGGCTCCGAGAATTCCGACGAGTGAGTGGGAGAGAGAGAGAGTAGGAAGAACCCAAACCTAATTGATTTTTGTATGTTTTGCAGTTCCCCACCTTACCAGGAGGCAGACAAAAAGGATGCACTGATAACCAATGATACGGGCAATGAGAAGCGTGCACCACTGGCAGCTGTGGAGGCGCTACCAGAGACAACCCCAGCGCCAGAGGCCAATGGCAATCAGACACAGCCAGCAGCACAAACAGCTGCAAGTAAGACCACGGAAAAAGGTGAGTAGCTAGTTCATGAGCAGACGCTTGAAGCAGTTACTAATATTATTGATTGACAGACTCCAACATCACCACACTGCAGGGGGCGCTGGCGCCCAGCGATGTGACCAATGCCAATCCGGGCATGGGAAATCTGAGCATGCTGCAGGGCAAGCCACCGCCCGGCCGTAAAGTTGAGCGTGACAAGAAGATCGTCATCTACATACTGGCTGACAATAGCACCGAGTACAAGAAGCACAAGCGCGTCATCTACAGTCTGTATAAACATTTCAAGAGCAAGTGCCAAAGCCGTGGATTCGATTTCATCATTGCCGATGTCCATGACAGCGAGGAGCATGTGGAGCAGACCAATGGCAATGCCAAGAAGGATTTCTCACGCCTGCAGGAGGTCAAGCGCTGGACCCAGACACCGCTGGAGGCCCAGGGTGGCCATGAGGAGGCTGCCAATTGCCTGTGCGAAATATCGCGACATTCTGCAGGGGCCTACATCATCCCGGTGCTCTTTCTGGGCTCCACCCTGGGCACACCGATGCTGCCGCTGACCATTGAGAGTCAGGACTTCACCTCGGTGCTGGGCACCGCCAGCGATGCGGAGAAGTTGCTCCTCGAAAAGTGGTACACCATAGACAATTCCTATCAGCCGATGTGCCATCGCCTCTACACGCAGCAAATCGATCCGTACTCCACGCAGGTGAACGGTGAGCTGAACGAGCTGCTGGCGGTGCTGCTGCGCCTCTTCTCGGACGATGTGAAGGACTCGTATCTGACCACGGTGGTGGAGCAGGAGATCAACAATACGGTGCTGATGAGCCAGGAGCTTGCCAAGCGCTGCATATGGATACAAACGGGGGCCCATTATTCGAGGGCGCCAGAGAATGCCAGCCAGCTGGAGCTGGAGGTGCTGCGTCGCATCACTCGCATCTATTCGGAGCTCAAGAGTCAGTTGTGTGAGAAAAATCTCATTCGCCTGCTGCCCACCATGAACATCCTCGACGAAGAACTCTCTGCTGTTATTGAGAGTCTGCTGGACAAGTCGCTGGCTGCCATATTCGAGGAGCACCAGCAGAAGAGCAGCATACCCTACAACACGCTGGGCGTGGACAGGGTGCTGCTCGAAGAGCTTCAACTCATTGGCCACTACTCGAAGCTGCTGGCACAAAACTCTGCGAATTTTGACATTATGAACGATGTGAAGCGTTACATACGCGATGCCACAGCTCAGCCGCTGGTCGTATCTGGGGATCGGGGGAGCGGCAAGAGTGTGCTCGTGTCCAAGATAATGGAGAATGTTCACCGCTGGAAGCCAGAGGCTCAGCTGATATTAAGGTAAATGTATGCAAATACACATAAATGCTGAGCTCTGCCTAATGCTTCCTACAGGTATGCCAACCTAAGTGCTCGCTCCTCGGATCTCACCTCGCTGCTGGGCTCCATGGCCAATCAGATGTCGGTGCTGGAGTCGGGCCAACAGTGTCAGGTGCCACATGTAAGTGAACAGCTCCTGGGAGCAGCAGCAAGTCTTATTTGGATATTTTCTATACCCTTTTCAGACCCTCGAGGGCTATGCTGGAGTCATTCGGGACATACTGGCACGCCAGCAGCGTCTCTTTGTGCTCATCATTGATGGCGTGGACGAGCTGCAACGCGATGCTGCACTGGACTGGCTGCCACAGCAGCTGGGCCACTCGAAGCTCATCCTCACAGTCAGCGAGCTGCAGGAGGAGCAGACTGCGGAGGAGGAGCAGGAGCAGGTTGATTCCTTTGATATGCTCGGCGCGCTGGCGCAGCTGGGCATACCGCAGCGTTGCTTTCTGCGCTTGAGACAGTTTACTGAGCGTCAGTGGCACGATATACTCAGCTCCGGCGGCGGCGACTTCTACGCGGCCAATGGGGCGCTCAAATTGCCCGACGAATGGAAGTCGCTGCATGGCAAGACGCCCTACCATGCCAAGTCGCTGTGGTGGCTGGCCTGGCTGGGGCATGTGGCGCAGCCGATCAGCGAGATTGGCGACATCTCCAGTCGGATACTGCAGGTGCTGGAGACAAAGTTTGCGACGGATCAGGTGGAATTGCTGCTGCTGATAGTGCGGCTGTCGCCGTGGGGCATCAGGGAGAGCGATTGTCTGGGTGTTTTCCAGAAGATGACGCAGCTGGAGGCGCAGGTCGCCTTCAAGATATGGTCCAAGTTCTGCTGGCTGATGGGACCAATGCTATTAGGTCTTAAGAATATTAGGATAGCGGACAGAAGCTTTGGACGCGCCGTCCTGGCGAGGTATGCGCAGAAGCAGTGGCTGGTACATGAAGCGCTGCGGGACTACTTCGATCGACAGGACAGCGAGTTCAAGGGTAGCCAGGGTGCCAGCACGTAAGTTCCCATACAGTATCTCCATATAGTTCTCTCTTTATCCTTCATTTTTGCAGCTACAATTACCAGAAGTACTTAAAACTGCCTTATCATCACTTCTGTGCCGTGATTGAGGATAAGCCGGCGACGCACAAGATCGACATACTCTTCAATTGCTTTTACTTTACGGACCTCCAATGGATTGCCAACAAGGTGCATGCCACGGGGCCGGATCATCTGATGCACGACATCCTCCACGCCGAGTGGCTGGCCGCTGGATCCACCGGCTATGTGCATATCAATTTCCTCAAACAGTTTCTCGTCCAGTATCTGCACGAGCTGAGCTACGATGGGCAACAGTTCTATACGCTTATGAAGTACTATCTGAAGACGCGCTTCAGGGAGTCGCCCGCACTCAAGGATGACCAGAAGATACGCTCCTGGTGGGAGTACACCAATGAGCTGGAGTTTGCCTTTCTCGAGATTCTCAATGCGGATCTAGACGCAGAGAATGGCAATGAGCAGGAAGAGCAGGCTGAAGAAGCCAATGGTGATGATGCTGCTGCTGTTGCTCCCGTCAAGGGCTACGATCTGCTGATGAATCTGCCCCAACCGGGCTGCTATGTGGCCTCAATGTGCACGGAACGTGCCGAGATCTGCATCTGGGATGTGAAGAACTGCTGCCGCATCAGAGAGCTTCAGGGCATCCAACAGCCAACGGCCATGTGTCCCGTTGGCAGCTACGAGGCAGCGGTGCTCTGTCGCCGTGAGATTCGTGTCATCAATCTGGATGAGGGAAAGTTTAAGGTAAGTTTCTGCACATAAACGATGATTGATGAATGTTAATGCCTTTCTCTTCCACCTTCAGGTCACACTCAAGGGCGTGATGAACCAAAAGATGCCCTACTTCGGTCTGCATGATCAAAATCATTTGGTTTGCCTCTCTCGTAATCGGATGTATGTGAATCTCATGAATCTGGAATCGGGGGATTGTGTGACCACCTTTAAGGCTGGCGAAGATCGTTTCCTCAACTCCCTGCTGGTCTCTGGTGATGGACGGTAAGTGGCAAAAGTTTGATTCTTTGGCGAAAACCAGTAACAATTATTATATGCAGCATTCTTGTGTGTGGCGATGAAACGCAGAAGCCCTTCCCCTTGCTCGTCTGGCATTTGTCGCAGCGGAAATTGCTCTATGATTTGCGTATACCACATCATGACTTTATGACCGCACTGTCGGCCATTACCCATGAGGGCTCCTATGTCTGTGTGGTGGCCAAGGAGCTGAATGAGCCAACCACACCGAACTTCATTGTGGTCTATGATCTGCAGAGTGGAACTCTGTTCAAGAAGTGGAAGCCCAGCTGCAACACCGTCTCCCTGGCCATTTCCCAGCTGAATGCCTGTGTGATAGCTGGTCTAGAGGATGCCAAAATAGTCATCTGGGATCTGGTCACAGGCAACTGCAAGTGCACCCTAATTGGCCACAATGCACCGGTGACATTCTTGAAGCTCGATCCGCTCGGCAAGGTGCTGGTCTCCTATGACAAGGAGGGACGCGACACGGCCATCCGCATGTGGGAACTCAACTCAGGTGAGTCTTTCTGCATGCACTTGGAGTGGGAGTTGCTTAATGTTTCGTTCTTTGTGGCAGCCAAATCTCTGGCAGTTTTCAAGCCACCTGCTCAAGTGAGCACCTGCGAGATACTGCCCAACGGCGCCTTTGTCGTGCTGGCGCTCAAGGATCGCAATGCGCTGCTTACGTTGGCGCTGAAGAACTACGGCGGGGGCTCCGGCGACGCACTGGAGGATGACTGTGGCACATTGTATGGCAATCCAGATAACCAGCACAAAGTTTTCGACTTGAGTAATTAAATTAAATCAATTAAAGTTAGTTATCATTATTCAATTTACAAAAATGAAGCTCGCTCCGCTCCTCCTACAAGAAAATGAAACCAAAGGAAAAACAGAATTTTGAACTATTATAAATACGGCAAAAAGAAAACAAACAAATTTCTCATGCATAATTCATTAGTTGTATGTAAAATTCTTTAAACAAATCTTACCAAATGTACAAACAATGCAAAGAAAATCCAAAGAAATAATTAATTTAAAAATCCACTCAGTCCGGTCGCATTTTCTCATCTGGTTTATGTGGTAGCGAATAGATACAACAAATTCTTAGCAAATTGCACGATCTCGGTGCCACCCAGCTTGGATGTACCATAGATGCGATCTACAAATGTGATGGGCACCTCGGCAATGGTGTAGCCGTGCTGGCGCGCTCGTACCAACATTTCCATTTGAAAGACGTAACCCTTGGACACACAGCTGGCGATGCACTTCTCTAGCACATCCTTTTTGTAGAGACGGAATGAGCCCGTCAGATCACTGGCATTGGGGCGGAGCAGCACCTGTGAGAGATAGTTGGCGCCGCGTGAGATGAGCTTGCGCTTGAAGTCCCAGCCATAGACACCGCCGTCACCGGCATACCGAGTGCCCGAAACAATGTCATAGTCGCCCTTCTGTTGCAGTTCGATGAACTCCGGTATAAACTTGGGCTGTAGGGGGCGAGATTCGTTTACACCTATCATGTACACGTCACACGGAGGGTGGTGTTATCTATGCTCACATGATGACTCAAGTCCGCATCAATTATAATTATAAAATCTCCGGTGGCATGCTTGATCCCATGAATATAAGCTGTGCCCAAGCCCAGCTTGGAGCCGCGAGGACGAAGGATGATCTTATCCTCCCCGTAGATGCCCTGCAGATCCTTGGCCACATCCAATGTTCCGTCTGGACTGCCATCGTCTATCACAATCACCTCGTAATCGTAGCCGCTGCATAGGGGAGAGGAAGACACTTTGTAAATACTGTTTCTGCTCCGATTTAGAATAGCTACTCACCTGGCCTTCATGTATTTCACAATCAGCCATATTATAATTGGTAAATTATCCTTTTCATTGTAGGTGGGCAGCAAAATGCTGTATTTGTGAGCATTTGTTGGCATTGCTGTATGTTTTTGGCTGTTTAAGCCAATTACGGCAGTGTTGCAGTGTGTCAAACAGCTGGCCGTAGTCTTTCGATGTATCGATATAGTCGATATTTTAACATGATTTGTAATGTAATTAAAGGATATTACTGAAGTGAAACAAGCATTTAATATAAACACAAAGTCATCAAAATTGGCAAAAGCTATTATTATTTAAAATTAATATAATGAAACTTTTCAATTGTTTCCAACATTTTATAAAACATCGAATGCCAATTATCGATTGTTTGTGCAGCTCTATAACACTGGCAGTCTGCCCTGGAGTCGAAATTGTTTTAATTTTGTTTAAAGTTTTTAGCGTTTTTTAGCAACTGTCGCGTCGTGTGTGTCTGGTCGTGTCCGTGTTTATGTCCCGCGGCATACTTGCGTGTGTTTTTACATCATCAGTATGGCCAAAAAGATACCATTTAATGTGGTGTTTGCCTCAGGTAAACAAGCGGCATGGAATGCAATACTCCCAAGCACAACAATATATTTTGGAATAGTTTTCTTGGTTTAATTTTGTTTATTTTATGATTTATCATATGTTTTTTCTTTCATTCTGTTTTAGCAACTGCTGCAGTTCTGCATGTAAGCATATGTTCACCGTCCCACCTTACCCATGTCGCACTATCAGTTGGCTTCACTTGAGAAATCAATACAGCACGCTGAATTATGTACCGTAAGGTGCAGCAAAAATTAGGCTTAAATTTCGGACAGACTTAAAGGTAGTTTTTTAACGGGTGTTTCCCTCAGGCGGGTGTTTCCATTGCCAAACCGTTCCAGGTGATTTGTTATGGAATATTGCACAGACAAACAAGAATTTCTACCCAGCAACGGCACTTTAAATACCCTCAAATTAAAACAAACTTTTGAAAAAACTACCGCCTTGGTCGCAAATAAATCATTGTAATCCTGACAGATTGTCATAAAATGCCTGCCCTTTTTCGATGTCTGCATATCCAATTAGAGATGCGGACAAAGATATTTGTACATATTTATTGGCAGTTAGCCAAGCCCTTTATTTTGTACTATGTACCCCAAAATATTGCCCGAATAGCCTCAGTAGCCTTACCATTTGCCTCGGCAGACGTGACAGGTTTATTTACTTGGCCTTCTCCTGCTTTTTCTTTTGCCTATACTTGAGCTTGCTCAAGAGCGATGAAACGGGGGAGATGATGGTCAGGACATAGACCAACGATGTGCCGAGCATCATCCCAGGAATAAAATCATTGTCCACATGTTTCGTGAAGAACTTCGAGTAGTAGCCCAGGTAGATGGCGCCCATGCCTAGCGTATAGGTGACCAGGCCGAAGAGATTATGGCGGAAGCGCAGCTCTGAGGGGGGGAACAGCTTGAGGGCCAACTTTGGCTGGAAATAGTTGGCCAGACCGCCCACAATGCTGGCTGCGCAGAAGAAGGTTGCCGCGGCGCCTGCAACAACAGATATTTACATAGATTAGCATCTAGCAGTCAATGAGCCATAAAGGCAGCCACTCACCCACGCGTCCGTGCCAAGTGTTGAAGTGAACATCCTTGCTGGAGAACTTTCCCAGTCCCCCCAGTAGTACCATGGAGCCACCAAGGATTTGCAGAATGCCATGCAAGCGCGACTTGTTGCGGTGCGACAGCCAGCGGGTTATGCGGTTAACCTTGTAGTGTGACATCATAGCTTGGGCGATTAGGACGTGGAACTATCCAAGGGAAGGGAATTACTATTCAGCGGATCGATAAGATAAACAGTGATGTGTCGCTGATAGTGGCTAATTCTTGTCAACGAGATACCCGGTACTCACACCCACGCCTGTCAGGAACATGTGCATTGCCGTCTCCTTGAAGTCCAGGCTGCGTGCCAGGACAAAGAAAAAGGTGGCCACCAAGAAAATTAGCATATGATTAATGCTGTTCAACAGACTTTGTATCTGCAGCCAGGCGGCGGCTCTACCATAGCCTTCAGCCATGATTCTGTGCTTAAGTTTGTGGCGCAGAGCAACTAAAGAGTGACTAAATGAACACAGAGCTGGCACGTCGCTTAAATACATAACAGAAAAACAGCTGGAGAGAGAACTGGAAAAATATAGGCTACGTTACAACTAGAGGATACCCTCTAATCAGCATAATAAGTAGGTCGATGCAAACGCTAACTAACTAAAACACGTTATTAGTATTCATTTTCGATAGATACTGAATATAATAGCAAAAATATATATTATAAAACCAAACTCCAGGGTGCGATAAACAGACAAACGACAGAATACACCCTAACTCTTTTACTGCTAATGGGCATGAAAAGAGCAGAGAGAGAGATAACCGTATTTAGGTATGCGTGGCTCACAGTAAAGAGATGGAGGAAGAGAGCCGCGTGTTACGCTCTTTCACAGCTCAGTAATGCTGACTTGTTTAATTTGTTGTTACTATTTTTAGATGAGGATGTTAACTTCCCGGCCAGCGAACTGAATACACATGGACCCACTGTGCACGGCTGGAGGAGCACGGTGGACGGCAGCCTCGCCACACATGACATAATTCTCCGTTTCCAGCAGCCGGCCAAGATCTATCGCATACAACTCTTAGCCCACCAGTATCTCATACGTAAGAGTACATTCAAGTTCAAAGTTCATTGCTGATTCGATTCTCTTTCCATTGACAGCTGAGAAAGTTGAACTCTGGCTGCACTATTCACCCAAGTCGTTGCCCAGCACACCGTCGTCGCAGTACTTCGATTTCCTAGGCTTTGTGGCTCTGGCCGATAATGCCAACACAAACTACAAGTCGCGGGAGCTGCAGAGCGTTACCGTTACTCCAAGGCGGGGCACGCACCTGAAGCTGCGCCTCATTGGATCCCAAAAAAATGAGTACAACAATACGGGGCAGATCTCCCTGCTGGCGGTAAATGTGCTGGGCGAAGATCTTGACGTGGGAACTAGCAGCAATGGGAATGGCGAGGAGCATATTGGCAGCGAGGCCCCACCCCTGGACACGGCCACCGGAGAACTGGCGCTGGCCTCCATTTGTGATGACTTGCTCTTCTCCATGTACGTGGAGGAGTCTATTGTTAAGTACATCAGGGAACTGGAGCAGCGTAAAACGCTAGCGGTCAGCTCGGAAAGATTTGAATACGCCCGAAAGCTGAAGCTCTGCATGACAGCGCTGCGGACAGCGGGTGAGCGCTTGGGCCGATATTCTCTGGCCAAGCGGCAAGCGGTGCAGCAGGAGGACTTCACCACAGCCAAGCTAAGGAAGGAGCAAATGGAAATGTATCGAGCAGCTGTGCTGAGGCAGTTGCAGGTACAGCAGCTGCTGGAGACCCAGGGCGTCCAAAGCTCGAATGATCAGAGTTGTGAGATCTATGCGGGAGGAAAGCCCAGTCTGCCACCAGCTCCTAGTCTCCAGGAAGTGGCCCACGCCCTGGCCGAGGCGGCTCTGAGTCCAAAGAGCATTGCCAGTCAGGATGATAAATCTTCGACAGATGGTTCCTTGGGACAGGCCAGCAACGAGAGCGTGGTGGTTGTGTCAGCTGCACCAGTCGCAACAACAGCAGCTGCCCTCCATGCCACGCCCTCACATGCTACTGGCTGGCGAAAGTCCCATGACGAGATACCTCAATCGCCGCGCCTGCCATCGCGCCACAGTTCGCCCATGTGCAGCCGCCAGGGATCGCTGAGGCGACGCAACAAGAGTGTCCCTCGTAACTCATACGAGGACTACGAGGAGCGTGCCATACCCACATTGAGACAGTGAGTCTACCAATCTTTGAGGCAATATGTGTGTATAGAAAGAGATTTAAACAATTAACTGTCATAACTTTGCATTTATTTAGATAGCTATCGATGTTACAGTGTTGCATGATAGATTCAGTCGAGAATTGTAGCCATAGTTTGGTTTTTTGCCAACACTAACAAGCATCTTTCCGTAGCCCAACACTAACCGACCGTCGAATGTTTTTAAATCTTTTGTTGATCGAGTTTACTTTCTTTTTTTCCAACCCGTTAACTATAACCGTAAACGTTGCCATTCCGTAAACACACAACACAAAAATCGTTAAGTTCAAATACCAATGAATTTTTAAGGGAGTGCCAAGGCAATGCGCTGCTGGAAGCGGACCCAAACCGGGGACGTTCGCGCCTCAACGATCGCGAACGTCGCCAGGCAGCCCTTCCCATTCTGGTCTTTGGCAGTGAACTAGTAAGAATTCCCATCAATCACTTTCAATCAAACAACAAATTATAACTAAATATGTCGTGCAGGTGGAGCAATTCTATTCGAGGCAGTTTCAGGATCGAGAGGATGGCCTGATGCGACTGCGTGACTTTCTAAAGGAGCTAGAGGTGGTGGAGGTGGCCAGCAATGAGCATGCAGCCAGTCCCAATAAGGTGGCACGCAGTGCTGCCCTGCTGCTCCATCGAGCCGTGCGTGACGCCGTTTATTCCGTCTTCAGCCAGGCCACGGAAACGGTGCGCGTCCTGTTCCTGGAATATGTTCCTGGACGTGTCTCGCCTAGTGAGGTGGCCCGCTGTGTGGACCGACTGCTGCCCGAGCTGCTGGCCAAATCCGGCGACCCTTCGGCCCGCCTGCACACCCTAGCGCAGCACACCATCCTCAGCATTGCCGCCTGTCCGGAAGTGGCCGAGCAGAGTCTGGTGGCTCCCGCCCTCTCCCGCAGCGTGGGCTCCGGCACCCATCAGCGCTTAGCCATGAGCCGGCTGCAAATGCTCGAGCAGCTGGTGCACACGCAGGGCATCAGCACGGACAAGCACAGTGGACTGACCTGCCGGGCACTCTCGGAGTGTGGATGCTCTGGCATCCACCATCCGGCCGAGCCCGTGCGCAAGGTGGCAGAACGCATACTTCTGCTGGTCTACAAGCTCAACCCTCGCATGGTGCGCAAGCAGCTGCCCCCCGACGATGACATCACACGTCGCAATCTGCTGTACAGACAACTCTTCACCGAATTCGACAAGCTGGACCTGGAGCGCAAGCAGGAGCTGCTCGAGGGCAGCAAATATGTTGGGGATGCACCCACGCCACTGGCAGACAAGCCCACAACCAGTTCGGATGCCTCGCGTCTGCTTAAAAGTAAAAGCGGACAGGCCTTGGGCCTTGCTGCGAGTTCCAGCAACGGCTATGCCAGCTGCAATGGAAAGCAGCAATACAATGAGCAGCTGAAACGTTCCATGCTATCCGCATCGAATTCTCGAAAGGGATCTGCCTCCAATTCGGAATCCACCGAGGACAACACACCCAAAATGTACGTAGAGAGAGAGAGCAAAGTTTTAAGCCTTGGAATTTATGCCTTGAAGCCTCTCGAGTTTCCTCGACTGTTGCCAACATTAAGTAAAGTAAAGTTCATTCAAGCACATTTTCCACCCTTTTCTTTTTCGTTTTTGTTTGCTGTTTTGAAAAATTGTACATCCATTTTCGTGCACAAATACAATATACTCTATTTACTCTTCGAGAACCGGGTATAAAAGTTGTAACACGTACGAATCGTCGCACAATCGTTCCCACTCGTTATACATACATTTGGTTCTTTCAGACGATGTCCATTTTGTGACTGGTCGTGTGCTGGCAGTGATGCCACCCAGCTGGATCGACACTACTGGAAGGCCTGTCCGTTTCTCACCAAGTGCCCACAATGCAGTCAAGTGCTGGAGGTAGCCGCCCTCAATTATCACCTGACCAGTAAGTAGAAGAAACCTTCCATTAGACTCAAATTCATTTTATTTCGCATTTCACAGCGGAATGCGATGCCAAGGAGAGCTACGTGGTCTGCGTCCGTTGTACGGAATCGGTACACAAGCAACTTTACGAGCTGCATCAGATGGAGGACTATTGTCGTGGTAGGCATCATGAGCAGTCACATCTGATCATTTGATACTTATTATGTTTCCCTTTGCAGAACTGAAAACGGGCGCGGCACGCTGTCCACTCTGCCATGACGATGTGCATCTACCTCTGGATGGTGGCTGGAAGTTGCATCTCCTAAGTGCCGCCGGCTGTCCCGGGAACATACGCAAAAAGAATGCAAAGAAATCAAACTGAATCTCAAGTCAATCTAATCGATTAATCGGCATATGTAGCGAATTTACTAGAAGCAACTTATAATCTAATCCACGATACGGGAATGATCGATCTACCTAACTAGCAAACAACATTCCAGCTGCAGTGACGTTAAGCGTTAATTAAATCAATTTGTTTTACACTCTACATTCCTTTTAGACACATTTTGTTATCCGAATTAGTTAATTAGTTTATGCGTGTGTGTGTGTGTTGTTTCTTTTGTATGTTTTTACGCAATGTGATTCGTTAAGTATAACACGAATTTTTCGAAACGTCCTTACAATAAATACAGCCAGCCCCTCCAAACAGTTTTAAATCAAACATTTGCATTTTTTATTTCTCAAGGCGGTGGTATGCGATTGCTGTGTATGCCTAAAGCTGTCCAAAATATATCTCCGACTACAATCTGTCCGACACTCTAGCTGGCCCTGCAGAAAACCATCAACTTGATGCAGTCAAACTAGTGCGTTGGAGCAGCGGCCGGCTTTCTTTCAAATAAAAATAAAATAAGCAATAAATAACGTTAGCCCATTGACGACCAGAGAGTTTTTCAAAATTCACACGAAAATTATAAAACTTGCAAATTGTTTACGCATTCAAATTAAAAGATATCATGGTAATATTGTTGTTTGTAAATATGAAATTTGAATGAGCCAGAAGCAGAAACAATTATCATTAATCACAGCGCCTAAACTCAAGTTTTTCAACTCTTAAAGTAGAGCGGGGTTACGTGGGTTAAGTTTAAGGTTTTCGTCTGTCTATTTATGGGCGGTATATTTGATCGATAAATCCGCGGTCACACTGAGCGGCGGCAACGTTTTTTGTTTGCAATTTTTGTGTTGCAATAAAAATAAATGCGAGCTGAATTAGAGCCCGCGCTATAATTATTTCAATCCATTTTCGGTCGGCGTGTGGTGCAAATCTATTCGAAAATGTGCTGAAAATCATTTTAATTAACATCAGGCTATTATCTGCTATTATCAAACCCCACTCCACCCCGCCGCTTCTCTGGGCGTCTTGGTTCTCTGCTCGCGTGTTTTCCGTGTAGATTAAAATACTTTAGATTTCCCGATTTGGTAGTACCCCTGGCTGCACGTGCGTCACGCCACCCCAAGACCCTGCAAAATGCACGAATTATTCAAGAGAATTATGGATTACAAATACCTGAGCCGGTCGCAAATAAATGGCTTCGACAACTACAAGGTAGGTAGAAGAAGGATGGAAACCAGTTCTTCATTCGCCAATCTATTTATAGTTGAATTTTAGGCTACCTGATGAGCATACATTATACATTATTATCATTAACCATTTCTGGGGACGCTTCTTGTACATATTTCTTACAGTACAGCGCCATAGACACCTCCCCGCTGAGCCAATATGTTATGCATCCATTCTGGAATTGGTTGGTCAAGGTTTGTGGACAAACGAACATTGCTTGAAATAAAAAATCAATATTTTTAATCGACCAATTGCAGTTCTTCCCGCGCTGGTTTGCGCCCAATCTGATGACGTTCCTGGGCTTCCTCTTTAGTGCCATGAATCTGGTGCTGCTCTCCTACTATGATTGGAATTTTGAGGCTAGCTCCGGGGAGGAGCACACCACACCTATACCCTCGTGGGTCTGGCTGTGCACGGCCGTCAACATCTTTCTCGCCTACACCCTGGACGGCATCGATGGCAAGCAAGCGCGAAGGATCGGTCTGTCTGGGCCACTGGGCGAACTATTTGATCACGGCCTGGACTCGTACACAGCCATGCTGATACCCACATGCCTCTACAGTATATTCGGCAGGAGCAGGGTCTATTCCGTGCGACCGATGCGCATGTACTACGTCTGCCTCACGGTCTACTTTAACTTCTTTGTGTCCCACTGGGAGAAGTACAATACGGGCATATTGTATCTGCCCTGGGGCTACGACCTGAGCATGTGGGGCAGCACTGCCATGTACTTGATCACCTGGTGGTTGGGCTTCGAGCGTTGGAAGTTCGAGCTGCCGCTGGGCTCCTTTGGCACCCTGCCAATGGGCAATGTTATGGAGGCCGTACTCCATGTGAGTGCCATGGCCAATCTTCCGCTAGTCATTATCAATGTCTACAAGTGAGTAAAAGTGAGAAAAATTGCAGTGTGGTTTTCTTATAATTTCCTTCTCCCTCCTGTGCAGCTCCTATAAACAACGCACAGGCCGAATGTTGTCGCCATGGGAAGCAATTCGTCCCATGTGGCCATTTTTCTCGTACTTCATCATCCTGCTAATATGGCCCTACATCTCGCCGAACAACATCATGGAGACGGATCCTCGGGCCGTATTCATGCTCAGCGGCACCATCTTCTCGAATGTCAGCGTAAGTCATCTGCCAACAGCCTTGCCTCTTATCGAACTGTGTCGCGTGTGCGCTGAATCATTTAGATAAGGAACACGTCGACGGGTGTGTCAAGTTGTTAGTCACTGGGAGTCCCAAGTGTTTACTGCCAACACAGGGACAGAGCTTCAACTCGACCAAAACAAGCAAAACAAACATAAATCCCATTTGTAATGCCGCCTTTTTGTTGCGGTGGTCGGCGCTGTGCCAAGGATGCTGCACAAAAAAGAGGACCCAAATGCTGTGGCAGACAAAACCAAGGATATCATTCACTTGACGGCCACCGACTATGAACGTCCGTTGACCCTCAAGTTCTATGCTCGTCACGATTGGCCATACTTTAATTGCACTCCGGAGGAGATTCGCAAAATGCGTGAGAAGCTCGATCCGGACTCATTAAAGATAAGTGAGAGACTGTCGAATGTCAAGAGCGAAAGCAGCATCGAGAAAGGTATCCAGAAAGTGGAGCATGCCACGGCACAGCCAATGACTGTGAATCAAATCTATGGCTGGTATCAAGATCGTGCCTATCGTTACCTCAAACAGGATCGCGGCATCTTTACCTTTCCACACGAGAACGATCCTTTGATACAACAGATTCTACGCAACAAAAACAACAAAACTCGTTAATAATGCAACAAATTTAAGTCTGTTTAAGGAATAATTATTATAAGAAATTAACTGGTGGGTGTTCCACCCAGGCCAAACCATATTTGTTCGTTGATTTTTTCACACTCTTACTTTTAATTACAGTGTCGGCTGATTGTCTCACAAATGTCGGTGACGCGCTGCGAGGCCTGGCACTGGCAGACACCCATGTTTGCCTTCTCGCTGCTTCTGAGCGTCTGGATACCGCTGCTGGAGCGGCCGTTGCTCTACCTACTGCTAATTGCCACCACACTGACCCACTGGCACTACGGGGCCAGTGTCGTGAACCAAATGTGCGAACACTTCAATCGTGTCTGCTTCACGGTGAACAAACGGCTGCCAGAAGAGGAATTCGAGAAACGGAAAAAGATGTTGCTACTGGAACCGGAACAGAATGAGAATCAGAAACCTGAAGAACCACTCAAGAAGGAGGATTAGGAGGGTTATGCGCGTCAAAACTGTTTTGCTCATTTTGTGTTTTCGGTCAAGAGTTATTTTCTTTTGCATGTTCTGTTCATCATGGAGGCTGTTTAGTTAAAAGATTTTAATGAGATTTTTTCCTAGTTAGAAATTAATTTTAAAATGGGTCTTGATCCCAGTATTAAGGCCAAGTGTTGGAGCTTGTTTTGGCTTTTTGTGTAATGCTCTCTTCCAAAAAAAAACCCACAATTCGAGTAGGGTAGCTTTAGCAACTAAACATTATCTGGACCTATAACTAATTCCTCTTCATAGCTTAATTATATCCACTAGTAATCATGACAAGTGGTCTAATCCGCTGATAAGATTAGACCCATAAATATACATAAATATTTGATAAGCCTTACAAGTTCCAGTGCATTAAATCCCACTAAAAAAAAAACCTAACGCAACACCGAACAGACCGACCAGTATACAACATCATCTAGGTTAGACAATTTACAATTATTTCACATTTTCCTACTACTTAAGAACAAAAAACTATGTAAATCTAAAGCTCTCGCTTCCTTTGGTCCAGAGTATTTGTTTTAATTCGCATACCTTCTATGTGCGCTATGCTTAATTTATTTCCATTGTATTATTTTGTGATTATTCCACTTAGAGACAGACACAGACACACGCAACACAACACAGCAATACTATGTTCAATTTCTAACAACAAATAACCGCAAAGACCTCTAATTATTTAGACAAAACAAAGGTATTTATTATTCTTAAAAACAAACCTCAATGTCATTCAACTGTAATGTGACGTCGTCCATAGCGCCACAGCACGCTTATTGTATGAAACCTAAGACACCCCCCTCCAACACCCACCACACCAGACCACACCCCTCTGTCGTCACATTGTGTGTGTGTAAAAGACACAGAAAGTAAACAAAATAAAACACAATATTTTGACACAAACATTCAAAGCCAAGCACTTTTTTGCGATGACTGTTTCGGCCAAGCAATGATAAATGTTTGAGTTGTATCTATATTCCAGATCGCAGAGCTAACTTGAGAGGTTTTAGTACACAGCCAGCGGAATGCTGCTTTGAAATGCATAAAAGGTGAGCCATCTAAAAAGGAGCCAACAGATAACTGAGTAAGGAATTGCATTACAATTTTTTTAGCTGGGCATTTAAAGTTGTATGTATGCACTTGATTGCATGCAATGCATATTTCTTATAAGATTTACAATGTTTTGAGCTTTTGGATCTTTGGCAGGGCTCGGCACTTCCCTATCTATTGTGAATAGGAAAAGGCTTTGCTGCGGCTCTCATGTGCACGTGTATAACAGTGATTCGCACCACTACCAATGCATTGCGATGTTCCGTTTTGCGTGCTGTCTACGCCTAAAAACGCAAAAGTGAGTCACATGGCCTTTTACCGTTATCCTTGCTGAAAATAAATACTTTTTGCGTGTACAGTGGGATTCAGAAAAATTGCAGTTCTAGAAATCAACTTTAGGGTATTTTTGATCCATCACGAGCTGTTTGGGTTACAACGGGACTTTTAAGTGGGGAATACTCATATGTAAAGTGAATTACATACATATACGTACATAAATATGTACTCATATTTATTTGATGTACTATTTGCTGCACCTATATTTGTAGTTTCCATAAAGCTCTCCTTTTCGAATAGAACCCCCATGGTCGGTTTGCTCAGCTGACATTACTCTTGAGTACGTGCTTTGGCTATTAGCTGAAGCTTCGAACGGAATGCTTCCTCATTAGCTAATTGGCGTGAACATTGAATTCACGTACCACTGTGCGAGTCGAGACGGTGAGAACCTCGCCCGCACCAGCGGCTTACGGCTGACCGCTGGCCAATATCAATAAACAGAGAGCTCCCCCAGTCACGCAGCCGAAATGGGCACGGCAGAGCACAAAAGAAAAACAGGGAATAAGTAAGTAAGTAAGTGGAATGGAGGTGGAGGTGTAGTGGACAAAGGCAAACACCAGATCGAGATCGAGAATGGAGAATTGAGAATAGCGCGAGAGAAGAAAGCCAGCCAGAAAGCAGCAGAAGCAGCAGCAGCCGCAGTGGCAGCGAAGTCGGCAGAGACAGATATGAAAGTTGCGCCTGCGCTGTCGAGGCGCTGTCCAACGATCGTGGAATCAGTTGCGAGGCAGAAGCGCGAGAGTTAAGAACGTGAGACGGAACCTGGAACAGAATCGTATCAATCGAATCATCCCAATATGATCTGGAAGACTTTCACGCTGCTGCCGCTAATGCTGCTGCTGGCAGCGACAACAGCTGCGTCCTACTTAGCCTCCAGCACCACCACAGAGAAGCTCGACCCCACCACCGTGGGTGCGGTGGAGCAAAGCACTTTGTTCAAGGAGGAAGAATTTCCAGCCATGGCCCCTGCACAGGCAGCGGAATCATCCCAACCGATTCTGCTGCAGCCACCACCGATTTCTGGGGGAAGTGGGGAAGACGATGCACTGCGTCGTCGCACCGTCACCTACGACCAGCGACAGGAGGGGCAGTACAACATTCGCGCCGATCTGGAGAACTTTATGATCCTGCTGATACCACCCGGACCGCAGGACGGACTCAGTCTGCTGGATATCCTAAGCCGTGGAGCATCGACCAAGATCGGCAAACGCAAGAGCCCACAACGCAGTCCCTCGCTGAAGTCCTTCTACCAAATAAATCAACTCCAGAGGCTGCAGCAGCATCACCAACAGCAGCTTCGGCTTCAGCAGCCCTCACAGCCTGTGGTGGGTCTGCCCGAATTCATTGAGGGACGCACGCCCTATCATGTGGACATCTCGGCCAGTGACACGGAGCAGGCACAGCGACTGCAGCGCCAGCAGGTGGATGTGCTGCCGCCGCAGCTGATACACATGCCGCAACTGATCAAACCCTTCCACCTGGAGGCAGAGCCAGAGCTCATCCAGGCCCTGCCACCGGTGCCGGCTACGAGCACTGCTGCAGGATCGAATCTGCTCGAGAGCTACAATCAGCCCGGATCCCATTACTTTCGCAACTCGCGCGCTTTAAGGGGCGACAGCTACTTGGAGACCAACCGCCTGGCTGGCGGCGAGTACGCCCCGGCACCGCATCCACGCTCCATCAGCGTGCCCATCTACCGCAGCGAACTCAGTGGCCAGGCCAATGCCTTGTATCCGCCCATCGATGCCCCAGCCTATGTCCTAAACGAAGCCCGAGGCTGGCAGCTGGATGAAGAGCCCACCCAGGTGGAGCCCAAGCATCTGCTGGAAACGGATATCATTAGCTTCGATCTGCTGTCGGACGATTTGGGCGATTCCAAGACCCTGCTCCGGGATGGTCTGGCCCGCTGTGCTCGCGGCGAAAGGCGCGACAGCTATGGCGCGTGTCGCCAAATCGAGGGCTACTGACGCGGACGAGAGCTTCCAGACTGCTGCTAAATGAAAGCCTAAACATTAGTTATAGATTAAATACAAATAAACTTTTGCACAACCTAGAATTAAGCTGAGCCTGAGCCTACTATTATTATCTAACAAATAAATACAAACACACGTAATGCCCGAGCTGTTAATGACATTTGTGTAAATCTCCTTGCCTTGGGCCCAATGCGGAAGAGCACGGCAAGCGTCTAACGGTTCATTGATGATGCTCTGAAGGATGAGTCTAGATAGAATCTTGACAGGGGACAGGGACAGGAGGCCATCCAATAGCAATTACCCAGAGACAAAGGCCAGCAACTCCATAATTTTTGCAGGTTTTTTTTCTCTCTCTATTTGAAACCAGTTTGCAGTTAGAAAGACTGCCTCAAGCGCAGCCTCTTCCTGTGGGTAGTGCAATGCATTCTCCCGAGATTGATCATTGGTCATTGAACCTGAATGACCAAGAGATCTTAGATAGAGAACGGGGAGCTGCCGCTAAGTGGAAGAGTAAATAAAACATAAATTACATTCCAGCAATTAGTATATTTTTGATGACCGAAACGAGGTTATTGGGTTAGCTGCTACTTTCAGAATGAACCCATTTTAGCTGAGGTCTGTAATGGGATACATGCAAGAATTATAGAGCCAAAGGAAGCATTAGATGTGCTGCATCCAAGCCTCAGTGCATATTCCCACAGTTCCCTTGCAATGCGGAAGTCTTTGCTCGACGGACATTGAACTGTGTGTCCAGAAATCGGGTTTCTGTTTTTTTGTTTTTCTTCTCAGCATCCATGGTCCAGGCTCATGCTATTCTATGTGGTGGAACCACGACTCATTCGTCGCACGCTGTCAGAGCACAACGGTCCTGTCTGCGCTGAAAGTACGACTAAGATTATGTGCAAATTTACCAATCGCTTGTTCGTGTTTGCCCTGCTGCTGCTGGCGCTGGGAAAAATACTGGCACTGCCCGTATTGGTCAAGGCTAGTCGTCCAGGTAGCAGTAGCTCACGAAATGTGGTCAACGATCTGCTGGAGTTCTTGTATGACGACTACAATGACAACGGATTTCAACAGGAGGACATCTACTATGATCAGCGGCAAAAGGGTGCTGAAAATTTACAGTTGAAGATGGACGGGCTGGTCGTAGCTGCAGCACCCGCGATGACTTTCCAATCGCTGTATCTGATGGCCGAGCAATATTTCAGTAAGAACTTCTCAACTGTGGTAGGCAAAATATTTGTAAATTCTATTTAACCTACAGATATGGACGAAATGCTGCGACAGTCTACTACAGAGCCAGACGAAACTCAATTGTACGAAAAGGATCTAGTTAGAGAGCCAGAATCAACCGCTCCCGAGAACCATTCAAAAATTTCAGATCCAAAAACTGACTTGGAAAGCAGACAGCAGACAGGACCACAACGCCCCAGCCGGTGTGTATCCTTAAACAAATTAGTTTCCAGCATTAAATAATAAATTCCTTTTCATTCTGGTTCCAGTAGCCCATCGCAATTGCTGGAAATGCTGAAGAAGCTTAAAAGCAGAAAGAACTAAAGTAATTATTATTAAAAAATACAATTAAAAACTAATTTGAAATTTTTATATTTTAATAAATATATTAATCAAAGGGAATTATCAATTGTGTTCCAAACATGCAGAAAATTTCCACAATAGTCAGACAAAAATTGTTATAAAATTCGAATTATGAATGCCGCCATCGACTGATACTAATTACATGAAATTCTACTTGACTTTTACCTGCAATTTTGCAAAGTTGTGACTGAAGAATACAAATATTTGCACTATCGATAGTTAAAATGTTTGTACTTGTCAAAGACGACTTTATAAATACTCTACGGGAAGTGAAGACATTTGAAGGCTGAAGGCGAAGAAGTCCTTTTGTGCAATCTGTAGATAATCTGATAGATAGATGGATAGATCTGCCAGATTGATGAAATATTTTCTGTGTAGAAATGTGTAAGCAATATTCAACAGTATGAATATATACAAAAATTAATATGGTTCAGTGGTTATCACTCCAAAGGTAATCAATGATTAAAGACTTTCTCTTGATATCAATGAAATATTTTATAAATTATTTATTATTTGTATACGATGAAACATCATTAATCATTGAGTTGAAATTAAATCGCGAAGCTGTCGAGAACAAGTCAGAAAAGTTTTTGAAAACAAATTAAAATGTCTTGGATTCAGAAATTATTTTTTTTTCTGTGGTTCCTTTTGACAATTCTACAAGGGGCAAAGGATATTGCCACTGGAAATGGATGCTCAAACCGTGATTACAATGGCGACTGCGTCAGAAGGGGATAAAAATTCGCTGAACTGTGGAAAACAAACATCGGAAAAGTCTCTGAAAGCAAATTAAAATGTCTTGGATTCAGAAATTATTCTTCTTTCTGTGGAATTTTGTGACGGTTCTGCAAGTGGCAAGAATAAATGTACCTATTGTCGCTGGAAATGAATGCGCAAAACGTGATTTCCAGAGAAACTGTATCAGAAAGGATTAAGAATAAGTGAAAATTCGGGAAACAAGCATTGAAAAAATCAGTGAAATTACATTAAATTGTCTGGGATTGAGAAATGATTCTTCTTTCCGGGGGTCGTTTGGGTGATGCTGTTAGACCTTGACATTGTATTGATATCTATGGAATGGGTAGGAATTAGTGACAAGTTAACTTTTGTGGATTCGAAATAAATGTACAAAAAAAAAATTTACATAAATATAAATTGAAATAAAGTAAGAATTCAACTCATTAAAGCAGACTTTCTTATCAGAACATGCTTTATAAATAGCAATATACATACGTATGTAAATTAATTTTTCAATGGAGTGCAGGAAAATAATCTCTTAAAGGTCATTATTCTTCCTATACATACATATATGTACGGTAACATCAATTGCTCATGCATCTACGAATCATTCGAGGTGGAACAAACATCCCAAGCAGTTCCTACAATATTTAAATGAGAAATTACCCACAACACCACATTAAAAAGTCTTGGATTCAGAAGGTATCCTCATTTATGTTGATCTTGTGATCGATTCTGCAATATCAAGCTCAATGTACCTATTATCTCCATGGACAGTGTATACAAATTGGATACAACTAAGTAAAAAGTTTACCTTAGTGGTTTCGAAATAAATGTAGAATGAAATAATGTAAATTTAAATGCATATTGTTCAATAAAATAAAATAAATTCATAATTAAACTCAAGCAATCTCAAGCAGATGCTACGATTCTAGGAGGAGTTCCTCCTGTAACAGTTATTCCAACATCTAAAAAAGGTCCTCAGCAAAAAGTATTACGTCTGTATAAAGGAGTATAAAGGATTTAGTGGAGGTATGGATCTCAAATGCCATCAGTATTCTTTAACATCTGCAGCCTTCTTTGATTTGTGAAGCAGCGTTGTGCCAATTTTTGCTGGACCACCAGGAGTATGTGTCCTTGTATACCCTATTTCCATTAATACATTTTATAATTCAGTTTTTCAAGCTGCTCTTATACATTAAGAATGACTTTAACTTATTTTTATCTTAAAATGTTCGTAAGTCTATTTATTTATTTACATATTGCAATTAACAATTATCTTATATTATAAATAAAATAATGGCCTCAAACTCTTTGAGAAGCACGGTGGTCAATTATCAGCGTAATTTTTGCCTCTGTTTTGTTGAGACTTTACTGTCTGTTTGCTAGGTAACCTCGCGGAACATCAAACAGATGTATCTTTTTTGAGCTGCTCGTCGGCTTTTTGAGGGGAACGTAACAATGCTGTCAAGAAGTGTGAGTGAAAGGGCTCTCGCTGTAAGTGTGAGTGAAACGACAATGGAGTGTGCGCCTGAAGCACTGAGCTCAGAGGGAAATGACACGAGAAACGCGGCCGACGACGGGTTCTCCTTTATAGTTTCTTCATGCTCGAATACCACAAAATACCATCGGTTGATTTTCACGTACTAATCGGATGGTTTTTTTTCGATCTGAGTTTTGCCCGTCACATAGCCGCTAGAAAGTAATTTGTGAGCGACAACAGTTCTTATCGGTTCCATACGAATACCATCCCTGATTTCTCTAGCGGCCCCTATTTTCGATTTGAGTACTAAGCTTAACCAGCTAGTAATAGTAAATAGAATAGAAACATCGAGGAACATCTTTATTTTGCAGTATATTTCAGAATAGGTATATTTCGGTATATTGTCTGGCGGGTATATTTTATCGATAAATCCGCAGAAGACCAGCTTTGGCATTACTTTACAAATTTAAAAAAAAAACAACAAACAACTCCACATCAGCATCAAAGGCGAACGTGAGTTGCAGAATTTTTGAGCCCCGAACCGTCAAGAACATTCCATTAACAAGTATAAAAGTCGCTCGCCGGACCACTTGCAAACTAAAACTAATCGAACCACTGAACAACTACGACGCAGTAGACGTGCAGCACAAAGAAAAACTGGACGCGACGCTACCTGCCCGAAAGAAAACAATAATAAACTAAAACTACATTAACAGATTGTCAAACATAAACAGAAAAAAACGTTGAAAATGGCGGAGAAATTGTTGAAAATCACCTACCAGGCCCCAGACGTGGCTGGACCCCAAAAGAAGCTGAATGCCTACCTGAGAATGCCTTCTCAGAATTTCAACATATTGCGTCGTGAAATTGAGATGTATCTGTTCCAGGAGCGCCAGCTGGCCAAGTGTGAGATCAGGACCTTTTGGATTGGTGAGTTCAGAGCTGTTATACAATACCGTTGCATCGAGTACGATGAAAGTGCAGCTAATTTGCATTGAGGGCACAGACGGCCACAGATGGAAATTGCAAATGTATATTGCTCAATGTAATTGCAACCCATACGATGACAGTGTTGACAGTTCAGCCATTAATGGCTAGCTTTTTTTATCCACATACAAATTCGGCAATGTCCCATTATCTCCAGTGTGAATCACATAGAAAAATACCTTTGATAAGGAAAAAAACAAAAATATAAATTTTTATGACTCATTAAAACTATTTTGCCATTTGTTATTTTTCCTTTGTCTGCAGATCACGAGCATGATGAAATCGAAATTTTCAATCAAAATGATTATATAATCTTCCTGGACAAACGCGTGCAGAATATGCACCTTCAGATTGCACCGCTTGTCCCTGTGGTGGAGGAAGCGCAAAAGGCAGCCACCACAGCTGCTGCCCCCTCTGCTGATGACCCAAGCAATTTCATCATCCATGACACCGTTGAGTGTGACGGCTGTGGGCTGTCGCCAGTGGTTGGATTCCGCTACAAGTGTGTCCAATGCCCGAACTTTGACCTTTGCCAACGCTGTGAGGCAGCTCACAAGCATCCAGAGCACTTGATGGTCCGCATGCCCACCAATAATGGACCAAGTGTGGTGGAGGCTTGGATAAGTGGCGCAAATTCAAGATGTGGCCGGCGCTCGGGCCACCGCTTCCGCGGACACTGCCCATTCGGAGAGGTTGCCCAGGCAGCCACAGCTGCTCCAGCAGCAACAGCTGAATCGCCAAGGGAGAGTCGCCGCGAGCGCCGACATGCCCGCCGCCATGGCAGCGTATTGTCACAGTTTGTGGACATGATGGTCAACATGCCGGAGAACACCACTCGAGCGGCCGAACCACAACAGCAAAAGGAGGAGTCAACTACTGCGGAGCCAACAGCAACGGCACAAAAGGCAACCGAGACCGATTCAAAGCCAACTGAAAACAAGGAGACCAGCACTGCTCCAGCTGCTCCAACCAAGACCGAAGAGCCAGTGGCTGCTCCACGCACTAAGGAGTCAGAGTCATCGCAGGTCGGGTCACAGGCCAGCACTCCCACTACACCAGTTATTAATCTGGACAGTCTGTCGCAGATGGTGCCACCCGAATACATGCGTGCGGGCATTGAAATCTTGAATAATTTCAGCGAAATGTTTGCCAAGATGATCGATCCCACTGAGTCGCCAAATTCCGGAAGCTATGCAGCCTCGACAGCTTCTTCCACTGAGGCAAGAAAACCAGCCTCGACAGCTTCATCCACTGAGGCCAAGAAACCAGATGAGCCGGCAGCCAAGCAGGCTGAATCCGCTAACCAATCAACAGCAGCATCTTCTGTCTCGTCGTCAGGTGTGGCTTCGCTTGAAACGGAACCCTTGCTGCCCAAGACAACTGACACTAAAGTGACCGGCGAGCCGGTGGAGGAGCGCCGCTCAGAGAGTTTGGATCCCGACTGGCAAGTGATTGATTCGCTCATCACTCTGGACCCTATCGAGCCGGCTGTTGCACCACAACAGCAACAGCCTGTGCGTGATTTCGGTCAGTTGGGGGAGCTTCTGCGTCAGCATATGCAAGAGGAAGAGCACCGCGAGCAGGCCACAGCGAACACCCAGACTTCTCAAGTTGATACGGTGAGCACCTCGACTTCCACATCGGTTACCACCAATAGCATCGGCACCTCTCCAGCCGCGCCCGCTGCACCCGAAGAAAAGCGCACTCCGATAGTCTATCACACCGGTAAGTCCACAAGCGAATATAAATTATGAGAGATATTAATGCGTTTTCCTTTTTGTTGATTAGATGAACGCATCAACGACTCCATACACGCCATGATGGCAATGGGCTTCAGCAATGAGGGCGCCTGGTTGACACAGCTACTGGAGTCGGTCCAGGGCAATATACCAGCTGCTCTTGACATTATGCACAATTCACAGAGTCGCAACTAAATATACATATATTTTAAATAAATAATTATAATCGTATATTCAATAGCTTTAGCATCCATTCAAAAAAGTAGTTCTAGGATTTGGTCCTTTTGGTGTTTGATTAACAACAACAACAATATATAGAGAATGTTATGTATTTTATCTTTAAAATAATCAAAAGTATATTATCACATGCAGCACTGTATAACTATGTAAAATACCAATAAAGGCACAACAAATAAACAACAACAAATATAAGATGTTGAAAGGTTTCTAAAGAATTAATTTTATGCATTTCCTGATTGATTGTCAATTCTGGTTTTTAATTTCCTACTCGTTTCTTTCGAGAAACTTCACTCAAAGTTCTTCTCTCGCCTGTACTGGCTCTGCTTCGAAGAGACTATTTGATATCAGTACATAAATATCACGTAGAAATCTTCGCAATTCGTAGTTTGAGGTAGTTAGGGTGGCAATAAATGTGAAAAACTTGAACAGATTCTGGTGGTGGGCTTTCCATTGGCGCCGCCCGAAGCCCGTATTGTAGCCAAACATTTGCGAGACCATCAGTGCGAGGAATCCAATGAGGCCGAAGAAACGATGAAGGAATTTCAAGCTAACGATACTGCTGCTGATGAAATACAAAGATAGGCCGCTCAGTACGCTGCCCAGCAGAAAAGCACAGCCGATTATGCCTGAGGGGAGAGAATAAATTAAACATTTCCACACGAGTTTCGGGCGAGTGCAGATGAACTTACCAAAGAAGCCGTGATTGCTGCGGAAGTGCCTCACCGTAGCGTTGGGATCTTCACGTTTCCGTTCCAGCTTCTGCCAGGTCTTGATGGCAATACCGCCAACGCCGACCAGGAATGCCAGACCGCCCAGCACCGCGTGCAAGCGATTCAAGTTGGTTTGTCCGATCCATGCCTCCAGACTGCTGCTGTTTCTCACCAACAAAGCCTCGCCCATGAAGAACACAAACTGTAGGTGGAAATGCAATGTTTTAAGGGAATCATTTTATTGATTCAAGCCTTAATATACTCACGCCAATTGTGCAGTAGAACGCATGTCCAGCCGTGTGCGCCAGCTTCAGTAACAAACATTTGTACACGACGGCCACGGTGATCCCGAAGAGAAGAATGTGCGAGATGAGGTTGCAGAAGCTAAAGTAATAGTCAGCATGGCTATAGGAACCATTCTGCTGATCTGCAGTCTCGCAGACATCGCTCAGACAGCCTTGCAAATCGTTGATGGTCATGTTCTTGATTTTAGTCCTTATCTGGTACGTGAGATGCGCACGTTCGAGTGATAAGTTAAGTGTGGTACTGGGCACTATAAAACTAATGGCAAGTGGCAACTGGCGGCGTCTGTTCGCGTTGGATGTTTGGCCGCGTTTGACTCGTTCACGCTGCGAAACAGCTGGAAAAAGCGATCAGCGATCGCTCGCTGTTCTCTCAGAGAATTCACAGAATGCGAGAAAATACAAAAAGTGAATTACACTTTCAAAACAAGTGGAGCGCGGTGATTCAGCTGTTCGTTCACGTGCTTTACCTTGGCGCGTAAAAGGCGGCAGCAGCAGCACCAGCCAGGTGTTGTGGCGATGATTGCCATTGTGGCTCCAGCTGGGCTGTGATTTTTTGCGATTATTATTATTTTCGGAACATTCTAAAACCAGTTTGTATAATTAGCCCCGCCAAATGTCCGGTATTATTCATTCAAAACTTTCCAACTGTGGCCATCAATATTATAACTGCGTGGTAGGGCTGCTTTTTGAGAAACGTGTAGAAATAATAGTTTGGGTCCAACCCAAGAAACTGTCCCAGATGAGTGTTTTTGGTTGAGTGTTGCGAAATAGCGGCACAAAGCAATGGCCTGATAAATGAGTAGTTGCTGGAAAGGAAGAAAAGTGTTTCTGTTGGGGAAACCACTTGGTCCCCCACTCGTGTTTGCAATTTGTATTGTTTCTGTGGAGATAATAGCTCTAAATATGTACATTCACAATTACTATGCATTGTTTGGGTGCGCGATAACCCGTGTTTATTGAATAGGAAGTCGCTAGCTCTTACAACTTTACATACAAACCACTCTAGATCTGAGAATCTTGCAACAGGCCAAGCCGCTTGTATTTATATATTTACATATCTGTACATACATATTTACATATACATATCTTCGCACACGTCCAACAAAGTAAGCAGATTATCTGCACCAACGGGTGGTGGGGTTCACCACAGAATAATCCGGTTTATCGAATAACTTTTTCATGTGTTGGTGTGCATATATCTTTCTGTTATTACTCATACTGTCTATATACTTTTCTCTTTTGCAAAGCCATGTGAAATAACCACAGGTGACGTCATTATTTGGCCCAAAGAGAAGAGCGATACAAACAACAACAGCTGACGCAGCTCGGAGAGAGGTAAATATCGCAAGATAGAGAGCGTGGGAGAGCGAGAAAGCTTGATTTGTATATATAAATACCATAGCAAAGGCGTAGAACACTGTATTTCCCATCGGTACGCCGGCTTCGTTGGTGTTTGTTGCTAATAAATAATTTAAACAAAGCAAGACACACTCACCCACTAATAACTACAAGTTTGATGTTGGGATTTTCCAAATATTAAGAGCAAAAACAAACAATAGTACGGCGAAAACTATTCTCAGGAATTCCCCCCGAAACTCTACCAATCCATTGTACGTAAATGTGATGACTTTTAGCCATATACACAGTGTAGAACCGTGTCCATTTGCCTAATCAAAGCAAACTGCGATAGCAAATAACGTCTAAAGCACGAAGCGACAGCTATTAGGGACAATTAAAGTGTTAATAACTGAAAAAAGAAAATAAAGTTGAAATATATAAATTCAGATTTATGTACATATACTCGTACATTAATTAATTTGAGTTTCGCATGACTAAAGTTCTGTGACCAACACCTGCCAAATCGCACTTCATATTCATTCATGGAAACAATCAGATAAAACAGGGACAAACCCCTTTAATTCTATAAACTTGTAAAATGAAATGATTTGTGGATACCATGATATCAATAAAGGTTCAGTCATTACTTGCTATGACGAAATAAATCACAAGTGCGAGCTAAATATAAATTTATATGCATGTACATACATATGTATTTAATTATATACATTCGTTTCTTTCTATAAACATATATTTCAATATCTGATCAACATATAAAAATACTTTCATACCAACCACTGTACATGATAAAATCCTAGAAGGCCAGCCCAACCTTATACTCAAGCTGAGATTGCCGGCGTTTTTATGTTATTATTATTTCTGGTTTTGTTTGTTTGTCTGTTCTGAACTTATCATCGATTTGCTAATAGATTTGTACATATGTATGTATGTATGTGCAGTACATTATGTACACTTGAATCACACTCACACAGGTTTATATGTATTTGCTTATAACTTTTATCAGTGTTTATTTTTGTATGACTCGCCCACTGTCCACGTACACGGCGGCGTCAGCGGCGTCGTCAGGCTCGGCTTTGAATCTGTTGGGTTGTCGATGCTATAACAAATCTGTGAGGCTTCCCACTGAACCAGTCTCAGCTCAGCTCTGAGGCCCGTCGGTTGTATCCGCGCTTGAAATATATTTCTCCACAATAATCGAAGATCAGACCCCCACCCCATTCAAAGTGTTTTCCTCTTTGTAATTTTATTTTTATTTGCTCTTCCCTATCCCACCTTTCGGCCGACACACACACACACACACAAAATGCGTCGCGCAGACGCTTTTGCTGTGACCGTTTGTGCGAGTCTCGCGCTGCTGCAGATGATGGAACCGGTAAAATGCGAGGGGTAAGTTCAGTCAATTTTCGGATCGGATCGATCAAAATACGTGATAATAATGAATATTTATATGGGCAGGCATGTAGGGCATCATTAAGTTAGGTTTCAAGGTAATTAAGATATACGTATGGGGTGTTTTCTATATTCAGACATAAGTACATAAAAACATATGTATGTACATACATATACATATGCATGTATACGTATGTAAATGTTTAGTACCTGGTTCGTTGTTAGTTAAATCGAGCGCAAAGTAGTATATTCGTTACTTTATTGCCAGTTTGCCCTTGAGTGATTAAAAGGACAGTATTCAAATTTTAATTGTGAAGCAAGTACACAAACTCCATTCCATTTAACATGAAGAAATAAATAATGAAGTATTGGATTTTGTATTTGTATGTTCATTTCTATCATCCGAATGTTAACCATTTTTTGTTTTGCCTTGCAAACTTGTGATGCTAATTGAGTTTTTAAGTAAATCAACTTTTTTTATTATTTTTTTCGCATATTTTGTTTGATCTTATGGGGATTTTTTGTGTGTTAATTTTCAACTCATTAATCAGTGACACGATCATACGATACTCTCTCTATCAAGACCAGCTAGATAATTACTAATAATTAGAAGCGAATATAAAGGTTAATTATGGAATACGAGGGAATAACCTCCCGCCAATCAAGCTTAAATGTAATTTAATTAAAACCAAGCAAAACCAACACTGGAGGTTTATAATTTTCTAAAACCTTGAAGCTATTAGAGTTTGTTTTTCGGGTTTTTTGTAAGTGTTAAAAAAAATATAAACAGCTCGTAAACAAATTGTGGATTATATAATCATAAAGCCATCCGGTTTTGGTGGATCAGGTTCTTGAAACATTTACTCTACCGTTATCTCCAGTATTCTAATGAAAAACATTTTTAAATACATACACTTAATTGGTTGTTGGTTGCGACAAACACAAAACCCATCTCAGAATTGGATGATTACCTTCGGAGAATTGATAATCCCAGAGGTTAACGCAGGGCTCCAACATAAGCATCTAGTACTGAGAAGAGATGAGTTCTTTTGTGGGCTGTACCTAGAAAAATAACATAATTAACGATTCGTTTCTTTAATGGCAGCAAATACACCATTGTCGGGCCCGGAACCATACACTCGCATCGCGATTACAATGTGGCCGTGGCCGTTCATCAGACCTCAGAGCCGGTGACCCTCAAAATTGGCATCACAGGACCCTCGTTCAATGAAACCCAAACGGTGGAGCTTGCCAAGTCAGATGGGTTCAAGCAGATCACCTTCAAGCTGCCTCCCCTCGAGACGGGGGAGTACAATCTGACAGCCGAGGGCATATCGGGTCTGAAGTTTGAGAACACAACAAAACTCAACTATGACGACTTTAAACCGTACATTAAGATACAGACGGATAAGGGAAAGTACAAGCCCGGCGATACGATCAATTATCGAGTCATCTTCCTGGATGAAAACCTGAGACCGGACACGGCCGAGGACAATGTGGTTGTGTGGTTTGAGGACTCCAAGCGCAATCGCATTAAGCAGGAGAAGCACATTAAGACCATAAGTGGCGTTTACACCGGAAAGTTTGAGCTCTCCGACTTTGCCACGCTGGGCACATGGACACTTTTGGTGCAGAATGGCGAAGGCCAGCAGGGCCGCTCATTTTATCCGGGTGGACGGCACTTTGGCCACTGGCATCGCACAGATGAGCGTGTCTCCTTTGAGGTGGAGAAGTATGTGCTGCCCAAATACACAGTAAAAATGGATGCCACACAGCAGGTGTCTGTACGCGATGGTGACATGAATGTTGTGCTGAAGGCCAAGTAAGTACATTTTGACACTCTGAGAATAAATCTCATACAATCTCTCACTTGTCTGCAGCTACACCTATGGCAAGCCTGTCAATGGCAAGGTTTTGGTCAATGTGCATCTGGATGAGACCAGTGTGTGGGAGAATGTGGATGGAAAGACTGTGCGCACTGATTTCCCCGCCCACTCGGTAATTGGCACCGCGGACATGGTCAATGGGAAGGCCAAGTTGGACTTTAATCTGAAGGAGTTTGCCAGCTATTTGCCACACAAAACATCCTCGGCATATGCCCAGATTACGGCAACTGTCGAGGAGGACTTTACGGGCGTAAAACTGAACGAAACTGGTGGAGTTCAAATTTATCCGTATCGCTATGAGATGTCCTGCCCGGACTTCTCTTCCTGCTACTCATTCAAGCCTGACAAGGAGCACGAACTTGTCTTTAAGATCACTCTCGTTGATGGCACTTTACTGACAGATACCAAGTCGCCAGTCAAGGTGAGTGAAGCATAGTTTCAAATTCATCAAATTCATCTTTCTAGCTTCATTTAATTCGGTTTATTCTGCTTGCAGGCAAGGTTCACAGAAGGCATACGTCGCACCTATGGCTTCTATCACTATGGCAGTGAGGAAAAACAGCCTGAACTGCCGGAGATAGAGAAGAAAACGTTCGAGTTTGAGAGTCATTTGAACGAGTCGAGTCTGGTGACCTTCAAGGTCACACTGCCCGATCTGCCGGACATGGAAAATTATACGCGCTACTACGGCATTGATCTGGAGTTTGCCGATGAAAAGCGGGAGCTCTATACCACCTATCCCTACAGGGAGCCGAAGAAAATCGATCCGACCGACTCCAGCGAGGAGGAAAAGGAGAAGGAGTGGTTCAAGGCCGAAGTGAAAAGACCAAAGGACACCTGGAAGTATGTGGCATAATTTTTGAGTTGTACTTTTATCCTAATCTATTACTATTTTGCAGCTTGAAGATTGGCGAGGAGTACCAAGTAACCCTGAACTCCAGTCGGCCACTCACATACTTTTTCTACAACATAATTGGACGTGGCAATGTGCTGCAGACAGAGCGAGTGGATCTGGCCGAACCCCAGAATGTCTACAACATTACACTAAAGCCCACCTTCCTGACTGCGCCCCATGGCCGCATCTATGTGTACTATGTGGATGAGACGGGAGAGTTCCGGTATGCCGAGGACACCTTTAGCGTTGAGGTTGAACTGCAGAACAAAATTGAGATCACAGCGCCGGAGGAGGTTAAGCCGGGTGCCGATGTTGAGCTGGAGATCAAGACACCGCCCAAGTCATTTGTTGGCCTGCTGGCTGTGGATCAGAGCGTACTGCTGCTGGGCGGTAATAACGATTTGGACAAGGATTCCTTCAACTGGAGGCTAGGTGGTTATGATACATCCACACCCTGGCAGGGTGGCTATTCCTACTATCCTGGCGATCGCAGCGGCGTGGTTACCATGACCAATGCATATTTCTTCTACAATCGCACCGCACCTGTTAGCTATCCACGTAAGTTGGTTAATGGACACAAATGCCACAAAAGATGTTCATTAATACATTTATTATAATTCACAGACGGTGTGGCTTTTAGCGGTGGCACCGTCTCGGCCATGCGGAAGACAGCGATCGCGCAGGATGCTCCTATGTACCACACAACAACCTCAGCCTTGGGTGCTGTTCCAGCTGCAGGATTCTCTGCAGAATCAGCCTCTGCTGCCGCTCCAGTGGTGCGCAAGAACTTTGCCGAGACTTGGATATTCGCAGATATTGAAAATACAGAGACGGAGATCTTCAAGTGGGTGAAGACCATTCCCGACACGATCACCAATTGGGTGCTCACTGGATTCTCGCTGAACGCAGAGAAGGGACTCGGCGTGACCGATCATAAGGTGAACGTTAAGACGTTCCAGCCCTTCTTCGTGTCCATCCGTTTGCCCTACTCCGTGAAGCGTGGAGAGCTCATCAATGTGCCAGCTTTGGTCTTCAACTATTTGCCCAAGAATTTGGATGTGGAGCTGACGCTGGACAATCAGGATGATGAGTTTGAGTTTGTGGATGCCTCCAACGAGGTTATTGGCGATCAAAAGCGCACTCAGGTCATTCGAGTGGGTGCCAACGAGGCGGCGGTTGCCTCATTCCTCATTCGCCCGAAGGTTATTGGAAATATTTTGCTGAAGTTTACAGCCATCTCGCCCTTGGCCGGCGATGCTGTGCACAAGTCACTAAAGGTTATCCCCGAAGGCATCACAAAGTATCAGAATCGCGCCTACTTCGTCAATCTGAAGGATGTGGGAGAGTACAAGAACACCTTTGAGCTGGAGGTGCCAGAGGACATTGTTCCGGACTCGCAGCGCGTGGAATTCGGACTCGTTGGCGATCTGCTTGGACCTGTGATCAAAAATCTGGAGAATCTGCTGAGATTGCCCAGCGGTTGTGGCGAGCAGACCATGTCCAAGCTGGTGCCCAACTACTTGGTAAGGGACTACCTGAAGAGCATCAAGAAGTTGACACCCGCCATAGACACACGCATCAAGGGAAACCTGCAGGAGGGCTACCAGAATATGCTGCACTATCGTCACGATGATGGCAGCTTCAGCTCCTTTGGCCCTGGCAAATGGCGGGAGGAGGACCTTGAACGCAATGGCTCCACTTGGCTGACCTCCTATGTGCTGCGCTCGTTTAGTAAGATCAAAGAGATCATTGATTTGGATGAGAAAAACTTGGAGAGTGGCTACGAATTCCTGTTGAGTCGTCAGGTCGAGAATGGCAGCTTCACCGATGCAGGAGAATACTTCTATGGATCACAGCGCTCCTCTCTGACCCTCACAGCCAACGCTCTGCTGGCGCTGCTCGAGCAGGACAAGAAGAACCAGACAGCCATCGACAAGGCTGTGGCATATCTGAGCGCCGAAACGGAGAAGTCCGAGGAATTGCTGCCCAAATCCATTGCGATTTATGCACTGCAGAGGGCAAAGGCTCCAGACGCAGCTAAACATGTGGCAAGCCTCAAAGCCCTGGCACAGCAGGAAGAAGATCGCACTTGGTGGACGGAGGACACGGAGAAGCTGCGTGCTTCCAGCGGCTGTCGCCGTTGGTGGTGCTGGGTGTGGAGCCACGACGTGGAGATCACATCGTATGCTCTGCTCACACTGCTGGAATCGGAGCAGGAGACACCGGATTCGGTTTTGAACTCGATTCGCTGGCTGGTGGCACAGCGCAATAGTTTCGGAGGATTTGCCTCCAGCCAGGACACGGTTGTGGGTCTGCAGGCTCTGATCAAGTTCGCCCAGCAGTCGGGCTATGAAGCAGCCAAGTGGGAGGTGAATGTCTCGAACAAGGGCAAGCGAGAGAAATCCGAGAAGCTGAGCACATCGGAGGAGAACGATTTGGTGCTGCAGACTGTCGAGTTTCCACAGGGCACCAAGTCGCTCGAGTTCGAGGCCAAGGGCACAGGAGCAGCTCTCGTCCAGATCAGCTATCAATACAATGTGGTGGAGAAGGAAGCAAAGCCCAGCTTTAAAATCCAAACCATCGTTAAGCCAGAATCCACGCCAGCCAAGCTGGAGCTGACCGTGTGTGTGGAGTACGTGGAGGAGGGCAAGTCAAAGGCCTCCAACATGGCCATACTAGAGGTATCCCTGCCGTCTGGCTACACCGCCGATGAAGATAGCTTTAAGGACATCCAAGCCATTGAGCGTGTCAGGGTAAGTACCTACTCGTAGTTCATCTTTCCATTCCATTCTGATCTCTATCCACCTGTTCTCGTTTCCTTTGCAGTTGGTGGAAACCAAGAATGGCGACTCTGTGATTGTTGTCTACTTTGAGAATCTGCTGCGGGATGAGCTCAAGTGCATACCCTTCGAGGCATTCAGAACCCACGCGGTGGCCAATCAGAAACCCGCACCCGTTGTCCTCTACGACTATTATGATACGAACAAGAAGGCCACCGAGTTCTATCAAAACGAATCGAAGCTCTGTGACATTTGCGAAGACTCTGAGTGCAAGAGCAAGTGTTAAGTTAAGCTATCTGAACCAAATTTACTGATTATCTGATTTTCAATCACTTATAAATAAAGAATGCAATAATGTGATTATAATGGAAGACGTCAAGAAGCATGATTTCTGAAAGCAAGGTATTCAAATTTATTTTCAGACAGATTTGTTCTCGACAGCTTCGCGAATTTTCACTTCTTGTTAGCCTATTCTGACACAGTTGCCATAGTAATCACGGTATGGGCATCCATTTCCAGTGGCAATAATTACATCAGCATTTGCTCCTTGTAGAATCGTCAAAAGGAGCCACAGAAATACTCATTTCCGAATCCAAGACATTTTAATTTGTTTTGAAGGACTTTTCCGATGCTTGTTCTCGACAGCTACGTGATTTAGTTGCAACTCAAGCTCATTCAGCATATGTAAATTATAAATATTTTATAAAATATTTCATTGATATGAAGAAAAAGTCTGTAAACATTGATAACCTTTGAAGCGATAGGCACTGAACCACATTCATTGTTGAAACAAAAATATATTTATTTTAAATATTTATGAATTTTAATTTAATTGTTAATCGAAAACCAATTTATTCTGAGTCCCTTCTGATACACCTTCCACTGTAAGTACGCAGTGTGCATTTATTTCCAAGCATATATTGTGGTACTTCAGGTTCGTCCATAGGCGAATCCAAAGGCAATTTAAATTTTAAGCCCCTTGTGATACGCCTTCCACTGGAAGTACGGATTTCGTAGTCATTGCCAAACCAATATCGTGGTTGTTCAGGTGCATGTACGCCATGTGAGACAGCTGCATTGGTGTGGTAAATCTTTAAGAGGATCCACAGAAATATTATTAGTTTGTGCACTGAAAACATTTTATATTTTTTTAAGTTTTCTTATGTTTTGCTTGCAGCAGGTTCACGATTTTCTTTTAACTGAAAGCATTACCATAGATTGCCATGGTTATATTGCAATTTATATGGAATATTTATTAAAGCGATTACACGAGTAACAACAGCTGATAAGGAAATATTTCCAGAGAAATGTGAACATAATATTTAAAAAAAAATTTCATTGAATCAAAGGAAAAGTTTCTAGACTGGGTGAAATTTGTTTGCTCACAAAAATAAAATATTTTACACTTTCTATAAAACACACATGAGAGTATTTACAGATTTAACATGAGTAGGAACACTGCTTTAATACCCTGTACAGCGTACAAAGCGTCTCAAAACGTTCCTTACATTCAATTTTAAATAGGGAAAATGAAAGATCATTGTTGATGGAAGATTAATATCTTCTAGAACAGTGTTCGTATAATTCTGATTACTACACTACTCGACACGATTATGCCGCTTCGATCCAGACCAACTATTTATGAAAGATATGGGGCATAAAAATGGTTTGGTAATAATTTGTTTATTTTTCTATGGCAGAACTTCTTTTAAAGAATTTTTAAAATCTGGTATTTTTTTAGGTTTTTTTAGAGGTAGTGCTCTTTCTTTCACACAACTCCAGTATCCTACATCTGGTTGTTATAAAGTTAGCTATTCTATAAAACTGATGAATGCATCTATAAAGTGTACCCATCCACTTTGTGGTTTTAGTCTACCGTTTGAAAAATAGTAAGCTTTGAAATGCCAAAATTTTAGATTTTTGTAAGGTATTTTTACGAAATTTTGACTTTAAAATCTCGGGTAAAGTCGAAAAAAAATAAATCTTGTGTCCACGATTTTTTATGCATTAATTGGGCGTCGTTTGAGGTATTGCTCATCAAAAACTATGAACAATTTTTCAACCAGCCCTAAAAAGATGAAAAAATCCAAATTTTCACTTTATCGATATATTGAGTCGATACTATCGATTCACAATTCTAATACCATTGGTTTAATCGATAGTGTGTAATCGGTGATTTTTGCCGCAAACTTATTTGTGCCAAATAAACAAAATTCAACATAAAACAAGTATGTAAGGATTAATAAAAGTACGGCGATTCGCCAAATCACCGCTCGGCCAGCAAGCGACAAGCAGCAAGCGACAAGCAGCAAGCGACAGGCGAGTGTAGATAACTTTTGTCAACTTCTGTCTGCTACGAGAACTAAATAATCTGAAAGAGCAGATGAGGACAGGAACAACAGGACAATACCATAGCCTAGAACTGTCGCCAGCTGCCATGTCTAAGCGTGTGCATAGCCTACGTGACGGGCAAGCACATTATCGGTCTGACCATAATCTTAATATTAGTCCGAATTTTGGTGTGACACCTTCTCTAGATGGATGCTGGATAGGCTCGCTCTTCAAATCCTGTGCTTGCGAAGTCTCCAAAGTAGATTCAGATTTTAGGCTTCCCAGGTCGAGAGGTTTTGCATAGGCATTATGCAACCTGTAACCATTCTGCAGTCCGAACTCAAGATCAGATCGGTATGTAGGTCCCCCATTAAATTTCCCAACCGACTGAAAACGGTTCTGTACATTGAAGTGAATGTGGCAGGCGCCCCCTGAAGCAGATAGCGCCATAGACTATGAGATGGACTAAACTTAATTGAGATGTTTAAAATTATGTTCAAGCCATTGGAGAGCGATAAGACGACGTCCCCTTAAGATTGTTGCTGGGGTAGATGTGTGCCCATGCCAACAACAACAGATATATCGTATCTGTTGACTACTGTGCGGAGCCGGCAATTCTCTCGTCTAATTGTTTGTCTTCTCTGTTGATAAGGTTTATTTATTTATGTTCTGTTTTTATTTTTTTATGCTGGCGGCAGCCTTTGTTGGTTGGGATTGAGCTGTGTCGGAAGAGGCTGTGTGAGACTTTCATTGACATGTTAGACCTTTGCACTAATTGATGCATATACGAGCATATATGTAAATGGCTATATAAGTAGTATATGCCGTGACTTCCAATTAGGGCAAACTTCTCGAAACGCTAAAAATAACCATTCGGTTGCTGGTTCTGTGTGCGATAATTTGCATGTAAATAATTGTTCGCTTCTCCTTCTTTTCTTGGGATACAAACACAGTAATCTGCAGAAGTACAAATCTTTATTTATATTTTCCAATGAAGTTAGTATAAAATGAGTAGTCACAACGAAAATAAATTCAATGAATGTCCAAATGATGGTATGATAAAAAGCTAACAAGATCATTTTAGTTTTATTAGTATTAGTATTAGGATTAGTAGTGGGCAAGCTATGCAATGAAGCTATGACCGAGGTTATAAGAACAACGGACCCAGATACGAGAACATGACGCCCGAGAATATGCCCGTAATCAGCATGGCAGCGGCATACATGCCCGCGGTTATTTGATATTTGGCATGCACCGTCTGCGGTGCATACATCATGCCCAGCGAACTCAAGTAACCCGAACTGTAGGACATTACGACTGCAATGCCCCAATATACCCACTCGTTGGGGAAGTACACCTCGAGGGTTCTGGTCATGCCCGGCGGTATATAGTTGCACATGATGAACAGGGGAATGAAGACCAGGCGCAGAGCCACGGGCACAACCAGATACTTTGGACCGGGCCACTGCACCCAGGAGGTGGTCAGGCTGCCCAGCATGGCGAACACGTTAAATGTGAGGAAGCACGTGAGCAAGGTGAAGTAGTCCTCGGAGATGAAAAAGTCTCGGTCCGTGAGTCTAATGTTCGAGTGGATGGCCGGGAAGACCGAGAGGGTCACAAAGAATGTCAGAAAGATGTTGAAGAGCTGGGGCGAGGCCTTCTTGAAGATCTGCCAGTAGGGAACATTCAGCTCTGCCCTCGAGTCGGACTTTTTCTCATTGATCTGGCTGAGCTGGTCGTAGTGCCTATAGAATCTGTTCACCGGCAGCGCGAAGTACGTGTCGAAGCACAGAAGAAGGATCACAATTGCTGTGACGAAATAATAGATGGCCGAGGTCCGCTTCGAATCGAAGAAGGCGGTGCAAGCGATGGACATCAGGGTGGTGAACACGCCACTAATGTTGGAGCCCAGGACCACGGCGCCCGTGTACTTGATGGGCAGGGAGGCCACAATGCCGTAGATGGTGTTCTGGTAGATTCCATTGCAGACGTTCAGCAGCACAATGCTTACCATGGTTGCCCAGAAGAATATGCCCGGCCACTGGGAGGAGTCCAACATAGCCAGGACAATGGTCACCAGCAGAATGACAATCTCGAAAATGATGCTGTAGACTATCCGGCTGGTCAGGCTGCCGCCAAAGTTCACGAAGATGTTCAGCCAGTTGAAGAGAAGATTGGGAATCTGCGAGGCAAATCCCATGTTCTGCATGAAGGTGCTTCTGTAGTTCACCTCCGTCGCCACCGTGTTGTTCTCACCCAGCTTGAAGTCCTCAAAGTACGACTTGGCCGTGATGAACATGTTCCAGGGCATCAGTGTACCCAGTCCGTGCAGCATGAATATAAAGAACACAATCTTGTACCTATCCTTGGGCGGCAGGCCCAGCTTGGCCAGCACCGAACCCTTGCCATTCGAATCGGCTGGCGGCAGTTCCGACTCCCACGAAGGATTTAGTGTCACCGGCTTTGGTTGCTGCTTGCCAATAAAAGGCAGTTTCTCTGATTTTCCTTCGGCCATTGCTGCGTGGCTTCTGTTCTGCCCTGCTCGGCGCGGCTCTGATTATGCGGGCGACAGCAAATTACTGGGGCGTATACCGAACAAAGCACAAAAAGTTGCACGGTCAGTTATTTGGTTGACTGGCGAGGGACGCCAAGCCAGTAGAAGGGCGGGAAGGTTTGATTTTTCCTTTTCTCCGTTTGGAACTGTCACCTGCTGTTGGTCTTCAGATGCTCTGCCCGGGGGGGTTATGGGATTAGTCGTCACGTGGTCCACTAATACGGCGGCAATCGTTATGGCCGGACAACTATCTGTACCTGATTTCCGTGATTACAGAACAGATTGTAGTCCCAAAGGTTACGTGCTCCGCAGAAGGCACGCGTTTCTTGTACTCGCTATCGCCATATGAGATTATTATCGCTGATTTATTGGATTATGGAACTACTCGATCGGAACGGAACTGTGTTCAAAAGGAGCTGCCACATCAGTGAATTTAAGTGAAACACACCCTAGTTTATGTAAATAAACCAAGTTTTGCTATAACGCAGCACTGCTGCAACAGGTGCCAGTAGAGGTGAGAAAGCAACTATCGATACTTTTAATCAAATGTATTATATGTTTAAACAAGAGTTTATTAATTTTAAGTTAAGGACGCAGATTGGCCAGATTTACTATAAACTCTCTGTTGCCTGAACACGATCATGACATCAAACTTGATACGCATTTAAAATTGAATCCATCGAAGCATCGATGAAAGACGGATGAAAGTTTTCCCACCACTAGGGAGCCACTTACCTTGGCGGCTTCACAACACAGACAAGTCTTCCTCTTCGCGCGGCGCGTTTTATTTGTGTGATAAAACACGTTGTTTATAAGAATTATTAAAGAAAACGGTGACAATGAGCACCAATGTGACCACCCCCAACATTCAGCTGGGCGACTACATAGTCATACAGCGCCAGAAGTACACAAAGCTGCAGAAATTCGGCAGCCTAGACGCAACGTCCACATTGGGCAAGGAGACACTCGAGCTGAAGTCGCTGCTGGATCAACCCTACGGCTCCACGTTCAAGATGTGCGTAAAGGAAACAAAGAGTGGAAAGCGTGGCGCCCAGCGCCAGCACACACTCGAGCTGTGCAGCGACACGGAGCTGAGGAGCACGCGCGAAGTTCTGGGCATCTCTAGCAGTGGCGCCGACAATCGTGACATATGCGACAATGGGGAGGCGCAGGCCCTGAACTCCTCCGACATTGAACAGCTGCGTGAGGCCTGCAACGAGTCGAGCAAAATCATTGAGAAGCTCGTGGAGAACTCCAAGACGTTTCACACCCGCACCGAGTACTCCCAGGAGAAGTATCTGCTGAAAAAGGAGAAAAAATACTTTGAGTTTGTGCAGATACGACAGCCGACGATACGCCTGATGGTGGACATATTCTATCGACAGGATGCAGAGAAAATCATGGGCATACGCGTGGACACGCTCTCGCAAATAATTTCCTACTCTGGAGTCTGCGGCTTTGGCAACTATTTGCTGTACGAGAGCGGCACCAATGGCCTGCTGCCGGCTGCCATGATGAACTCCATTGGCGCCGACACCGAGGGCACCCTGGTGCACATGCATCCCGGCAATGTGCCACAGAAACAGGCATTGCTGGCCCTGAAGCTGCCGCTGGAACAGCAGCAGCGCTGCGTCTCTGTCAATCTGTATTCGGTGCTGAGGGAGTTCTATCAGGGAGAGACGACAAGTGTCTCCCCCGCTGAGCCCAGTGCAGTGCAGGCGGAGGAAACGCTGCCCGAGACACCCACGGAAGAGCAGCCCGAGGCCGTTGAGCCGAGCACCAAGAAGCCCAAGCTAGATGAGGCTCCCCCAAGTGGTAAGGATTTACTCCATTTTCCACTCAGCGACTGATTTTCGTCTACCATTTGCAGGCAATAACAAAGGTCCGCTGCGCTGGCAGCTGGAAAACAAGCGCGCCACCACGCTGATGCACGAAAAGTTCGACAGCCTGGTGGTGGCAGCCAAGGAGCATCCATCGAGCATACTGCAGGCACTCCTCCCACTTGTGAGACCCTCGCGACCCATTGTGGTCTTCAGCACGTGCAGGGAGCTGCTGCAGGAGACCTTCATGGAGCTAAAGACCTCCGGCAAGGTAACCGCTCTCCACTTAACCTCCAACTGGTTGCGCACCTATCAAATACTTCCGAATCGCACGCATCCAGAGGTGAATATGAGCGGCAACAGCGGCTACCTACTGACGGGCTTTACCTTAAAGTAAAGTAAAGATTAAAGCGACTGGCGAAATATACATGTAAGCAATTTGTTAGTAACAATTTTGTGTTTAATCACTGGTTGAGATTTGCTCCAAGTGCTCTGCCCACGCTGTGCTGTGTGTAGTGTAGAGAGGAGGAATCTGTCTGTCTGTGTGTTTGCCCCTAAACGGGTGGCACTTTCTTCAGCACAAAGTAGTGGCCGCACTCGCAACGCTTCGGTGCTCCCTTCTCCAGCCACATCCACTTGGCAAAACGATCGTCCAGGCACAAACAGCCCACAAGGCGACCATCAAATGCTGAGGGTATTTCTGTGGGATCATTCAGCCTGCCAGAGCCACGCTTTAGTATCTTGCCCAGACCCCAGGGATCACCGCAGCCCTGTTCCTTCAGCAGCATCTCTCGCTTGGCAATGCCGGTGGCCAGTTCCAAGTCATCAGCCATTTCTAATGGATTGGATTTGATTGCTAATTCCTTCTCAAGCTGCAGCCTTTTCCACTTACCTGCCATGCGTACTGGTGTTGTGGAAATTTGACGTTTCATGGATGCAGTTTCCGCCCACTTCTGCAGTCCCATGCGACGCAGCAGGGAACTAAATTTTCCCTTGTGCTGCGACAACTGCGAGATGAGACGATGCTTGGAGGCAGCCTGCGCCTTGAACAGGCGTGCGAAATACGCTGACATTCTGTCGAGAATTTAAAATTATTTCCGCACAGAAATTGTCTCTCGGAAATATATAAATTTTTTGTTTGTTTTTGCTTGGGATCGGACACCTATCCCTTACACAGTTTCGAAAGGAATGAAGGGAACTCGTGAACAGTCGATGGTGACATTTGGAAAGGCTTACTGGGATTGAGAGAGACTTCGATTTCTGATTTACTTTCGCTCAAAATCACTTTGTTGCCTTTATTGTTCATCGTTTATCTGATATTTGTTATACTAAAGCATCATCGCGCCTATAGCTGCTGCCTACCGCCTGCTGCATGACCCTTTGATAGCCGCCGAGGTTTTGGTTATTTGGTTTTGTTTTTCTGGGTTTGATGTCTGTTTTATTTGGACAGCTAAGTGTTGGTTGACTTTTAGCTTAGTAGTTGTTTGTGTGGGTGTGTTCTTGTTATTAATTGGTTTATTTAATTAATTAATAATAACTTTAAACAGCTGCCTTCTCCACCAGCTTGAACCAATGGCCGCACTCACAACGCTTCTGGTTGCCCTTCTGCAGCCACATCCATTGCACGTAGGTCTGATCCTCTTCGCCTGCAAAATAAAGAGTTTGGATTAGGTTTCCTTCATTTGCAATGGCTTTTACTCACAGATGCAACCAACAATTCTGGCATCGAAGGCCGATGGAATCAAGTTGGGGTTCTCCTTGGTGCCAGCACCGCGCTTGAACACCTTCATGTCGAAGGGATTCTCATTGCCGGCGGCTTTGGCGAGCAGCTCACGCTTCTCGATACCCGTGGCATGCTCCAAGGGGTCGTTCATCACTGCAAATTGGAAATCGAAAAGAAAATGAATTCGATTGTGTTTGTGTCCTCGATTGATAAGCGTCTGCGACTCGGATCAGCTGTGCAGCAGCAACAGCAAAAGCAGCGATCCGCGGGGTTACATAAACGCCAAACGCCCGCACTGAACGTTTGTGTCATCGGCTAACTATTCGAAGTCATTAGCTTCAGATAGTGTCCACTGGCAGAGTAGAGGTGCGAACTGCGTTGGCTCCTCGGCTTTCCCCCTCCGCCGTATGCACATAAAACACATTTCCCTGCGCATAGTTATTACATAACCTCCCCATCGAGGCAGGCGCATTTTCAATTGCCAAAAAAGGCTGATCCAGTTGCAGTAGGCTGCCGCAGAGTGTTTACTGGCCATGCATTGGTTGTCATATTATGCAATCCTAGCCATGAAACTCGGATGCAGAGTCGCCTTCACACCAAAATCCACACACCACGGGGCGGCGGACGTGACGACTGCGCTGGAGATTTCGCTTTTATTTCTGCACTTACTTTTGCAAAAACGCACGGGCGTGTATGTAACATTTTGACGTGCAGCGGCACGGAGCGCCATGCGTCCACAGATCGATGCCATAGTTCGTTTCGCGAAAATTTGTGGCTCCTAAAAATTGAACACCAAAAATTCTTTCGTAATTTTTCACACAGCGAGACTTAAGGACAGTGTGCAGCAGTACCGCGATGGCAGGTGTTGCAAAGCGCCAAAGAATAGGCGAATGCTGCCAGATGGGCGAACCACGGTGCCGCCACTTGCATCGTTAGATGGCGCCTGTAGTTGCCCGGGCAACGCTGAAATCGAAATTTAGTTAGAGCTGTCAATTAAAATGTCTAATAAGCCCATAATCTGCTTAATACATTAAAAAATTAGAAAAAAATTGATTGAATTATTATTGGATTTATTGGAGCCAGAGATTTCCAAAACTCTCAAATTCGACGATATCCATCCGTCCAAGGGTACTAAATATTGCTTATTCCGTGCCAAATGTTGGGGAACAGTGCTGTTTCTCGGTTTTCACAGCATGATGCTGGGCCATAAAAACTATGTTGCCAACGGAAAAAATACGTAAGCTGGATGCAATTTAACGTAAGGTGGGTATTGAGACTCACTGTTGCGATGAAAATTCCCCATGTTGCGATAGAGATCAGCCACCATAGTGTCCATTCAATAGAGATCGAAAATTCCCTACAGAAAAGAGAGAAACTCCTTGAGGGACATTTTAAAAACATGCGTGTAAACACATGTACCTTTAAAATGGAATTTAATAGACGGATGAAATTTGTCAAATATACCATTATATATCGATATACCGTAAATATATCACAAAATATACTGAAATATCCTTAAATGGTCACCCTGAGCCGTCACGCGATGGCAGGTGTTGGGAAGCGCCGAAGAATGCTGCCAGATGGTCGAACCACGGTGCTGCCACTTGAATCGTTAGATGGCGCTTGTAGTTGCCCGGGCAACGATAAAATGCAAAACAAACCAAAACGAAATTAAGTTTAGTCAGAAAGTTAAAATGTCTAATAAGCCCATAATTTGCTTTGATACATCCAAAAATGAGCGATTTCAAATATCGGACAACTATAAAATGATTCACCGCAAGCTGAAGGCCAACTGGATTGTGGAACAGTCAGTAAACGGGCGCAAAAGATTCCAATTTAATTTTGAATTGTAAGCAAACATTGAACACTTGTAGAAGCGATGCCGAGCTACAAAAGGAGCGGCTTTCGCGCGTCAAGATATTCGTACTGGCAGGGCCCCAGGATCGCTTCACCGAGGATGAGTTCGAAGTGCTCAAACATTACGTGGAGGTGGACGGAGGCAGTCTGCTAGTACTCCTGGGTGAGGGCGGAGAGCAGGAGTTCAACACGAATGTGAATTTCTTTCTGGAGCAGTACGGGATCTATATCAACGGGGACAATGTGGTGCGACCGCACTACTACAAGAATTTCCATCCCAAAGAGTGCATTGTGGGTGGCGGAGTGGTCTGCGAGTCCATGTGGCGGCACCTCATCAAGCTGGACATCGAGAAGGTGGACTATGACTTCAGCGACGAGAAGTACAAGATACACTTTCAGTATCCCTACGGCGCCACCCTGAATGTCTCGGAGCCCGCCAATGTCCTGCTGACCACGGGTCCCGTCGTTTATCCCTTCAATCGTCCACTGGCGGGCTACTACATCAACGGCAAAGGCGGCAAGATTCTGGCCCTGGGTTCCGGCTACATCTGGCACGATAAGTATCTGCAGGACAAGACGAATGACGCCATGCTGGAGTATGTACTGAAGCTCTTGGGTGGCGATGCGATAAGCTACACCCACTTGGACTTTAACGATGTGGAGGTGAGTGGAGTGGCAGTAATGAGTGCGCTCTTAGTGCTAACATCTCTTGATTCCTGCTGCAGCTCAGCGACAATAAACACTTTACGGATCTGGCCTTCCTGGCGGACAAGCCCAAGGCCTGCCTGATAGACTCGATCGGCACGGAAATGCCCACAGACTTCAAGCAAATGTTCGAAATGGAGATGTGCGCGCTGAGCAATCGTTTGCTAAAGGATGTCATCGATACGTACGAGCAACTGCACGTGAAATACGAACCGCTGAGGATCATCAAGCCGCAGTTTGAGATTCCATTGCCCAACCTACAGTTGGCCACATTTCCGCCCATATTCAGCGAGCCGCCCGCCCCACCGCTGGAGCTGTACGATCTGGATGAGACCTTCAGTGGGGCACGCTCCCAGTTGGCGCACATGACGGGCCAGTGCCTGCAGGCGCTGCAGTCCAAGGAGCCAGCGCGGCGCAGCCTCAACCCACGGGAACTGGAGAACTACGTGAAGGAGTGCGCCAGGATAACGGCCATTGTGGGGGAACAGCAAGACATGCCAGCCCGCGAGATACTCAACATTGTTGCACGACAAATAGTCAGCTACAGGCCATATGCAGAGGATTAGCCCAGCCAGACCAGAGCAGACAGCGGTGATCCGATTACCCATCTGCCGTCCAGCCAGAGCGGCACATTCCGCGCAGCGACTGCTGGCAAAATCAGCAGAAATTGTCGTGAATTTGAATTATAAAAATAAATATAAAAATAAAAATAATAATGAAAACCAAGTACGTTTTATGTAAACATGTTGGCGACTCGTATTCAAACATGGCGACCGAAAGCCAACAACGCTCCTCCACCGGGTCCATGCTTCCTACTTGAATTACGCCCCAAAATATTGTAGAGTGGGGAAACACTAAACCTGTGGGAAGTAAAGCTATATTATCGCAGCGCTCTCCCAAAAACTGTTTACTTAACACAATTAATTATTTTTATTAATATTTCCCCCCACACTCCCATGCACTGAACTCCCCTTAGGAGACCTCTGTCTCGCTCCTATTCTGTTTTCTGTTTTTAGGTGTCGACAATTTGTTTCCGTCTGCCGTACTGGGGGGAGCGCGCACTGCCGCTGCTAATTGAGCGAGGGGTTGATGGCAAGGGCAGGGAAGTGTGTGAAACCACTAGTTAATGCATGTCACAACAAATGTTGTCATCAATCTGGGCTCCCCAGAGACCAAAAGAATCCTGTAAAAAAAAAACTATGGAGCAAACAACTGGCGGTTGTAAATTCTTTTTGCCTCTCAAATGAATGTTCAACAATTCTCTGGAGCCTACGAGGATGTGAATGTACCCAGAGCAGCTACAGGAAAACTGGAAATTGGTAAAAAATAAAGTTTTAATGTTTAAACTTTATAGAAACTCATGAACTCAACGTTTGTTTTTATTTTATGGCAGAAGAGATCATAGAATTCCCCATCCATTACCTCTGTGCTGTGGCTCCACAAACGACGGCTGTTCAATCAATCAATATTGGAAATTCCCACACCTCCAGCGGGGGGCGGATGGCTGATGGGAGGAACTCCATCTGTGGTTCGCCATTTTGTTTGCTATTTCTGTTCAGTTTTTTTTTTGCTGCTTCTTTACTCTCGTTGACCGCTAAATATAACGTATAACGTTGGACAGTTAAGCCGTGGAACCGCTGTTCAGAGGAGCAGTATGGTGCTCGTTATTGGCTTCGGGGGTGCAGTAATCTGTCGGTGTAAAAGAGGTTGAGGCTGAAATCCGATATGGTGCAAGTAGGAAGTTACCTTGAGTGCATTTCTATATGTACTCTCGCATGTATTGACAGTGACAATGCCCGTCGCAAGTCCAAGTTGCAGTTCATTCATGGTTTCAGGCCACCAAAGCAAACAGGTTCACAGGCTCACAGCCCGGAGCTCTCTCTGCACAGAAGCCGCACAAGTATTTCCAACAGGCAAAAGGTTCCTACAACTCCGCAGCCATCTGCCTGCGTCATGCATTTCCATTTACTGTCTGGGAAAAGCGATTTTCGATTTTGTTTATCGAGCAAATCCATTGGCCAACCCCAACCACCAGCTGTATTTGCGGACATCACTTCCGTTCCAGACAGAACACTCTGCAAATGTATGTATGAGGAAAAGTCTTGACTTTTCAAGAGTTTTGTTTGACTTTTCATTAGAAGAGGCTGGGGCTGGGTCAGTTCATCCCTTTGTTTGGTGTCTGCCGCCTGTCCAGCTGGGATTTATTTTTTTTCTTATTTATAAATTAGTTATGTTTTCAAACTGTCCAACATTTGTCACCTGTAAATGCCCCCTCCACGGCTGGGGGTACAGAAATTCCGGGAAAACCCTCATGGAGCTCTTGGTGGCTCTTGATGCGGGTCGTCGCGACATCATTTTAATTAAATTACAGCAACCAAAACGTGCGACACTATAATAATTTTTATTCATTGTCAAAAATGGGCAATCATAAAAAACAACACGTCTGCATCGCAGCTGCTTAGAGCAGAGGGGAGTAAAGGTGGGCCACTGGGAGCAGACTCTGTCTGGTCAGCAGACGACACCCAAAAGACAAAAGTGACACACACACACACACACGCACACATGCTGCCTACCCATTGAAAGAGAATGTAACAATCAATTAACGGGGCAGATAGGTTAAGGCTGCAGACTGCACTTAACCCTTCCGTGTGTGCCGCTTGTTACAGCGATTTAGTTTTGTGTTGCTCCAAATTAATTTCTGTTCTGTATTATAATAAAGAGGGAGATATTCAGAGAGTGGCTTCATAGTTTTACATAGCTCAAATTCTTGTTGTGTCCCAAAATTTTGTTATCTGTCATTTTTGTTTACCCCACGACCCAGTCGAGGGTTAAAGAGCTTCAGATCAGCCGTTGACCCAAGTCGTCGTCTCTTGGCACGCTTCGTCGTTGTCGCCGTCTTCGTCTTCGTAGTCTGCCCTCGCTCTTTGTTTTTGTTTTTGTTTTTGTGGCTGTTGCTGGTGTTTTTATTGTTGTTGTTGTCGTTTGGTGTTTTTTGTTTTTGGTGTCGTTGTGGGGCCCTGTCAATGTCTCTATGGCGGGTACATGGCTGACCATCATTGAGAAAGAAAGCTTGTCTTGTCTTGTGTCTTTTATGTTCTGGCCTTGTTATTAATTCATCATTAATTTTGGATGTTGTACAACAAGCTCTAATGATGCGTGTAAATGCTAAACAAATGACCGACTAACTCTCCATAATCCTCAACTTCAAGATCAAACCGCCTCGTTGAATATTGTAAACTAAATCCAAAAGGTAATGCTTGAAGCGCGTGTACAAGTTAAAATGATATAAAATCGGACAAACGGTGGTGCAGCTTTCGAAATTTTATGAGCTTGTTGTGCTTATTAGTCGCACCACGAGAAATGGCGACAGGCGACAGGCCACAGCAACCAACAACAAACAAACAACCAAAACAGCAACACGAAGAACAGGAACAACATGCATTTCCACGGCTAATTTTTCACGCGCTCTCCATTCCCGTTGCCAAAGTCGGCAACCGACAGCGACAGCTCCTGACCAGGCTATCACTTTGCCAAAGTCCGCTCCAGGGTATCATTACTATTGGGTGGTCTTTGTGGCGGTTTCAATAGCCTAGAAAGAACGCTAATGATTTTTATTGATTTGGAGTGTGAAAGATCCATTCTCCTATGGGAAAAACTTCCAAATATTTCCACCATCCTTGCCTTCATTCTATTGATCGAGTACTCTTCCCTGCTTAACCTTTCCCCATCCCAGAGTGCATCCAGAATTCGAACATCTTCCCATTGACAAGCGAGTCGCTTGTGTTTTATTTTTATATTTTTTGGCACGCCAGACACGCACGAGAAATTCCAAGCGATAAGGATCGTGTACGACAAGGTGTATTATGGACCCCCAATCCTGGAGCAGCAAACGACCCAGCCCCAGCCCCAGCCCCAGCAACTCCCCCTGCCACTGCCAGGTTCCAGTCCCCACGTTCCACGTCTTCCATGTCCCACTGCCCAGTGTGTCTGCCCGAGTCAACGTTGGGCCGTCGAGTGCCATACTGTTGACTCTGTTAAATTGCCAATATTTATGGTTTTGCCTGGTCGGGTTGACTTGTTAAATGGGTGTTCCAGCCACATGGCAGAGGAGTCCCCAGTTAACAGTCCTCAGTCCTCAGTCCTTGTGCCAAAGTCTGGGCCCCTTTCGAATTGGTAGCTGCAAAAACGTTTAAAGACAAAACGTGTTGGCCCGATAAGGCAGCAGCAGCAGCAGCGGCAGCAGCTGGCCCGACAGACAATCCCCATGCCCCATCAATTGTGACGTATGTTTGTCAAAGTTTTAACAGCAAGACGCCATTTTGAAGTAAAGTTCCCCCACATCTCTCTCTCTCTCTATCCCTTTGTCTCAGTTTCTATGTGCAGCTAAGCAAAAATGTGCAATGTCGTTGTCGTCGACCAACGCTGGAAGCTATAAAAATGTCAAAACCTGCAACAAATAAAGAAGAATTATAAAGAAATCTAGTGACAGAACAAAATCACATAAACTCGTACTCGCACTCGTACTCATACTATAAGCAACGTCCCTCCGTCTGTCTGTTGGATCTGCTAAGAACACGGCAACAAAAGTCTACTCTGCTCTACAAACAGCCTCATGCAAAAGTTGTTACCTTTTTGATCATCTTTTGTAATGGGATGTAAATCTTACTCGTTAAAGAGATCATAGCATAATTAGATATGTACATATGTATTTACATATTTACATACATAAATAAATGCATTTAAACAGCCGCAGAAATTATCTCTAAGATATTAATTACCTTTAAGAACTGTTACTACTTTACTAGGTTCCTAAATATTGAATGCCAATATTTACCCACATTACAGTCGTTGAAATTATGATATCCCTTGATCGTTATCTTTGCCTTCTTCAGGGCATCCAAAAGTCAGCGTTCTCCCTCATTAACAGCTCCCCCCACTGGAATCACTGGCATCTCACTTGATATTTAGTTTTCTATATAAAATCTCGCAACAAAACGAAAAAAAAATGGTGTCTCTTTTGTGTTTCCATCCACGGGCTGGTTACCAGGTTGATGCGCTGCTGATTTTGCGGTTTTTATGGTTTTATAACTCATTTACTTTTTTAAGCATTACCTTCTTGGTTTTTTGTTGAGTAAAGGAAGAGGAGGCGCATGCGAATCTTTCGTGATGCTGACATTTCAGAAAAAATCCCTTGAAACTGTAGATGTGTGAGAGAGGGAAAACTTTTTGGGGCTCCGTCTTATCTCGATTCCCGATCCGAATGATCGTCACCTAAAATGTTATAAGTCACACCTAGCAATTTGTCAGATTTCTAGCTGCCGCCCACAGGGGTCTGGGGTCCGGGGTCTCTGCGACATGTTCGATAAATCAAATCCGTTGCACGTTACATTTGAGGCTCATAAAAATGCAAATTGTATGCATAAAGTATAATTTTTATAACTTAATTAACTGAGCTTTAGCTGGGCAGCGGGCAGCAAGAGGAAAATGGGGGGACGGTGCATGCTGCGTTTGTTGCTTTTTCCTCATTAGGCTGGCGCCACGTTTCAAATTGATTTTTGGCCCCAAACAGACGAACCATTTACATGACAAAGCTGTGGCCCATGATTAAGCTGAGGGAGGAGGATGAGAAGTAGGAGACTGGGGTACGATTTGTCTCTTATCATATGACCACTGACTGACCAGAGGGTGCGCTCCTCCGCAATCTCGGGTTAACTTAATTCTTGGAAGGGCCAAACGAGAGAGCTGCACACGGCACAGGGCCCATGCAGACCATAAAATAATCTCCTTCTAATTTGGGTGTCGTTTACACGTGCCAAGATCTCCACTCACAGACGGAGGCAACACTCGACTCCAATCCAGAGACACTCTCTCGACACTCTCTGACACTGATGAGGCTCATCAAGATGATGATGAGTCGAGTCGAGTGCTGGCTGTGTCTTGGCTTTATCGCTTCATCTCGGAATGTCGCATGATACGCAGAGAGAGAGAGAGAGAGGGTGGTGCTGCTGCGACTGTCACAGTGGCGGAATCCGAAAGTTTACATATTTAATTGGTTTTAATACTCACACAGAAAAAGGGTTCACGCTTAGGAATGTTCAAACGGAATTTTAACAACTCGACACTAATCTTTTCATTAGAGACTCATTCCAGAAGAAAGTGCTGAAGTAATCAAATATAATCTAGTTGAAGGTGTGCTAAAACAAAGTTCTCTTCTATTTTTATATGTGATTAATAATCTCCCATTACGAAGCTGTCTTTAATGATTCCTAAAATACGATAATCCTAAATCCGGCACAAGTCCCCAATTATCCTTCAAACAAGTCACTAATTTGGCATTAATTAGATGCCTCTCCAGCTCCCTGCCTTAACTCATCTCTCCGATTTGTCATTGTTCTGTCTCCAGACATTTATTTATTTATTTATACATATTCATGTGTGTGTGTAATTTGCTACATTCCTCCACCCTCCCGCTCGTCTCTGATTTTCCACTGTCTGACACTTGACCCTATCAGAAAATAACCAGTTGTATGTTTTTGCTGGCAGTGCGCATACTTGTGTGAGAGACTGTTGTCTGTTGGAGGGGGTGCATATTGGTGACTGTCTCGAAATCGAATCGAATCGAAATCTGGCGCCGTTTACATTGCTCGCGGCTGAACAACAAAAAAAGAAACATCAGCCAAATGTACAATCGAATGGGAATGTGTCTATACAAAAGTCAATAAACTTGGACATGATAGGTAAACCTACATGTACGGCCACGGGGGGCGTTTCAAAGGGATAAACAATGGGAGTTTCCTTACAGGTAGCCATAGCATCAACAGATGGAACATAGATACTATTTCAATGCAGTAAAGAGAGTGTTTATATATGTATGGATCAAATGCGTAAGGGAATATCTTATGGAAATCTGTGAAGTAAATATACAGATTAATTCTCAATTTAAACAAAACTAAACGTGGAATGGTTCTCTATAACTGATTTCCCATTTAAAGTTATCTTTAAAGTTATCTCGTACTTCACACTCGCACCTCCCAACCCTCATTCCCTACCCCTAGTTGTGTCCTGCTGTTGAACCCTTTTGGAAAATAACCCACCACTTTTCCAGCTACACTCTCGGCTGACTCATCCGGACAGCTGGCAACCGAAACCTCCTACCTCCTGCCTGCTGCCTCTTTGGGCTCTTCCCGCTGGTGACTTACTGTCAACTGGCGCTTGGAGCGAACCCGTTGCCCATAAATTATATAAGCACACACGGCGCTTGGATCGCCCAGCGCCCAGCGCCCAGCGCCCAGCGCCTGGATCGATGCAATGTAAGCGCGGGGGAGCGAGGACCCTTCGGACCTCCTCCACACTGTCGCCAGCTCCGATGCCAAGTGATTTTTTCTTAACGCGCTCTCAGCGGGCGCCCATTGTCCCGGCAGTTAAACAAGACGCTTTTCAGCTCATAAAACAGGCCACAATCGGGACTGTGGAAGAAGGGACAGGGACTGGGACTCGTTTATAATAAAGTTATTGATTTGTGTTTAAGTGGCGTGGGTGAGAGCCCTCCAAGAAAGACCCAAAATAAACCAGAAAGGGCTGCCCAAAAGAAAGTTTTTCCAGGGGGAACAATTCATACCTTCAGACATTCTGGACCTCCACAGTTGCGCATTTATCAGTTTATCAGTTGATTTGTTTTATTAAATGCTGAGCTGTTTAAGGCCTTAAGCTGACGCCTGTCAATTGCGACATGAGCAAGTCACGTACGAGCGCTCCATCCAATCCGCAGCCAACATCCAAGTCCCAGTACCAGTACCAGTACCAGTTTCAAGACCACTTCCAGATGTGATCTCGGGGTACATACTGTTTGCGTGGGCCATGGGTCCGTGGTCCGTGGTCCGTGGTCGGTGTGGACGGGCGGCGCATTTAAGTAGCTTAAACAGACGCGGTGGTCCCGTGCATAACTTTGTCTAATGACTCGGAAATCCGTCACTAATAATAAAAGCCAGGGCTATAAAAGGCAGCGAGCATTCGAGACATTTTGCTGTTGCATTTCTGCATTTAGCTCGAGATGGAGAGAGAGATGGAGAGCTCCCTGACATAAGGCTGCAGGGGCACGTGTGTGCTGCCTCAATAATCCTATTACCCAGCAGACGTTGCGAGGGTTTTATGAATGAAATGAAATAAACAGAAATATCAAAGCAAAGGAAATATTTATCCCAAACTTTGACCTTTGGCCAGGAATATTTGTGGAAATAGATATCAATTCTAAACAACTCAAGGAAACTTTTCTGCCATTCAATGGCATCTTCTATTTTCCCATTTAAATGCACAAATTCCAGGAATCTCATTAAAAATTCAATACGCACAAGGCAAAAGCATGAAACAAATAGTTCCACTGCCCATTAGACGAAATTATTCAATCAGCATTCGCATAACTATGAAATTGAAGTCGAACACAATCCTAATTTACTCCACAGAGACCCACAATTGCCTAACCATAACGATTTCCCTGCTGCCATTGCCAATCAGCCCGAGGCCATCAAATACAATCTATCTCATTAAAGGAAGTTCCAAGGGAAACAATTTAAAGCTATACTCTAGTTTAGAGCTTAAAGTCGGATATGGATGGCATTAGAGAAACACGCCCCCGCCACCCTCAAAAAATGTTTGAGTGCTTTTATGCCCACGCATGCGTCGTCTTGTATGGGGGAGGATTGTACCCTTGGACAGGACTCCAATTCAAAATGGCTGCACAAATATTTGGAAAGGGAGTGGTACACCGTACACCGGACGAGCGGAGGGTGCAAACTGTGTTTGCTGTGTTCCTGTGCTGTTAAGCCTAACTGTTACTGTCGCAATTCATTGAATTTGCAGGGCTAATTAAACACGTTAACAACTGTCGCGATGCGGTGAGCCGTGCAGGGATAACTTGCTCTAAAGATCGTTGTCGTCGTTGTCGTCGTCGTCCAGACGCCAGCCAGTATCCAAGAAACCCAAAAAAAAAGAGGAGACAATATTTCCCTTTGAGTCTCCTAGTCTGGACTGTGATTTTGTTGTTTTTTTTGGCTAAAGACCAGCGGCTTGGTAGCTGTCCATGGGGTATCAGAGTCTGGCCGGACTAATGCGAGTCGACATTTTGCCTGGCGCCCAATCAAGTGTTTCCAAATTGGGTTAGCCCCGAAGCACCGCACGGCACCAGAGTCGAGTCCAGGGCTTCGTGGAAGGGTCCCCAAGAGTGCCTTCCAGGAAGCCCTAGCACTAGCACTGGCACCGCAGCCAGGGCTGCCAACTCCGCACATTGCCTGCCTGATTCCTCTCGCCAAAATGTTCCGTTACGCTTGGAGTGCAAGTCCTGATGCGCCGCCCTCTGAGTGAAATACAAAAACTCACTCAACACGCTGTGCAGGCCAGTGAGTGCCTGCCCTAAGGTTAGAGCGAGAGCCAAACACGTCACAGCCGAAGGGCAAACGGGCACGCAAAGCGAGACGGCAACAGCGCACCACGATCTCGCGTTCGTCACGGAGCAGGGGTGGAGCAGGGGAGAGCGAGAGCGAACGACGGCGACGACGTCGACAGCTTTGTGGGTACGAGGCGATGAGCACCGAGCACCGAGCAGGCAGCTTTAAGTCATATTTCGGTCGAGAGCCACAGTGGACCACAGCGACATTCGACAACGGTACATACGACAACGAAAAAAAAGCTTCCGACCCGTCGGCTCAGCGAAAACGCAAAACAGTGCAGAACGAGACGTGGAGCAGAAAAAATACATTCATTCATTCACATCGTAAAAAATTAATTTGGCACAAATTAATTTGCGTAACGGAACTGCTCGATTAACACAATTTAATGTTTATTCATCGCATCATTCGAGTGCTGTCGTGCGCCGTGCAATAAAAAACGGAATAATTATTCGACATTTCAGTCAAACAAACAAATTTATAATTGATCCATAGCTGTGTGTTTGTGCATTAAAAATAATAAGCAAAAAGTCTCTGCCATGGCCAGGAAACTTTTCAATTGTGAATTGTAACATTTTCAATGTGCAGCTTTCGACAGAGTCACAGCAGCAACTACAACACCTGGAATATGTTGTATAATGTACCCTGTCAGAACTTTTCAACACTGGATTACTACAAAGTGAGTAGAGCGAAGAGAACTTTTAATACATTTAAACAGGAGGGAAGGAAGAGATAGATTTATTTTATGTCTCCTGATTTCAGGTTCAACTTCCTCTCTCAAGTTTAACATTTTTTATTCCTTTATCGTACCATCTTTGCCAATGTTTTATCTAAGACTAGACAATTACCAAGATATTGCATGAGGTGTATATTTCTCTTTCATTTTTCTTCGACCCTTCGTGGTGCGGGTTCCCTGGGTATTTGTCTTACTGGTCTACAGGTCTGCGGTACGTCATGAAAACTCCCACCATATAACAGCTTTTAGGTGCCTTTGTATAGTCTTTGCTTTTACTTAGACCACACACACGCACCACATTGCATAACCAACACGTTTCCTCCCAAGCTGAAGCCAAAAATAAATCCAAAGCAACTTCTATGTCTGCAAACCTGACTCCGGGCAGTACTCCAGATCATATTTTCCGCATCAATTATTTATAATTACTTTTGCTTCTGCTTTCTGCTTCTGGGCTGAAAGATTTGCTGCAGATAAGTTCCACTGTACAGTGAACTGTAAGAAATCAAAGATGCTACTGCGCATTTGGTCGTTTCTGATCCTTTAAATGCTGCGAGCAGACAATGCAGGACAGTAGTCAAAAGGGAATTTTCAGCTTAAGTGCGCACAAAAGGGCACAAAAATCCTGTCGATCGAGTGGGAATCATTTGACCAGAAATAAAACCACAAAAAGGGATCTTGAGCCCAAGAAGGCAGTAGGTCAAGGGCTTGGAGATCTCTCGGAGATCTAAAAATTGTTCCCGTATCCATGAACCCTGAACGTCGTCTTTCAGTGCTGTTTGCTTTGATTGACAGTTCCAGGACTGCTGGAGTTCTGTCTATTGATTGTCAGCGTTGCCAAGGCAGCAACAGCTTCCTCACTCTCTCTCCTTTTGGGCATCCCATTTACGAGTGAGGAAGGAGTCCCCCAACAGGGCCGTAACTTGAGCAAAGTTTTGGAGCAAAGCAATTTGCGAGGTTGTTGGCGTTGCCAGGACAAACAAAAGTTTTTCCTTTCTCTGCCATCCAACAAAATGGCTTCCATCGATGTGGAAGGCACTAAGCCAAAGGAACACAAACAAAAAGCGTCACTTGGCGCCATTTTGTTTGTCTATTTGACAGAAAAACAGAGAGACGACACACAAAAATCTCATAAATGCAAATGCAAAAAAAAAAGAAAGGACGAAAGGACCGCAGAGGCAGAGACAGCGCCAGAGTGCTGGTTGAGGCCATTAGCAAATAATTTCAGCGAAAAATGTTATTCGGCATTGTTCCACACTCACAGAGAGAGAGGGATAGAGAGAGAGAGAGAGAGAGAGTGAGAGAGAGGGACAGACATGAAATGCCGTGAGGATAATTTCATTGAAATTTGAGTAGTCGGAAAGGAGCAGCAAAATGTACAAAAGGACATACAAACGCGCCGTGCCATGCCATGCCATGCCGTGCCGTGCCGTGCAGATGCCTTGCGCTTTTCGGTGCTGCTGTTGCTCTTCCATTATAACAACAAACAATGCGGGATGGATGCAGAGGGGGGGAAGGGTACCTCAAGCAGGGAGCATAAACATTTCAGCTGGGGGTCCCCCCCTCACGTCTATAAGGGCGTGGGCCCGCAGGACTTTTGCCTCTGTGGGTTTTTACCAGATGAAATAAGGATTTTAATTCGTTTTCCGCTGAGCTGCGCTGCTCATTTTGTGGGCACCTCTCCATTACAGCCACGCCCAAAAAATTAAATTTTAAATGTTTTCCTGGGGGATACCTTTTTGAGGGAAGTCCTGCTGCCAAACTGGGACTCCAGCTTGTGGTGCACAAATGTCCGGCTCCGTCTCCGGCTCCGGCTGACATTTTTACAGCATAATCTGTGAATCAGTTTATCCCCTGGACATCTTTCTCCTCTGCTGCTGTTAATCCGCTTTGTCCTTGTGTCCCCTGTGCACTCCCTCCCCGGCTTAAGTGGCAAATGTTTGTCTGGGGCGTGGCACAGGAAGTGCAGAATCTGCTTTTGTGCATCTCCCAGCTACCTGTTACAGCAGCACTCACAGACTGAGATCTAAAATGAACTTGTTTATTTGTTTACACGAAAGTTTCGCCAAGCTGTGATCTTTCGGTAGCAAAATCTGCGCAATATTTCGGTAGCCATGGTCTGCGATAAGAATAATAAACAAATCTCCGATGATGGAGCAGCTCTGCCTGGCACGAGTTTTGTATACGATTATGATGATTATGCTCGTTGTCAACGTGATTTCGGGTTCTCTGTTTATTTAAGAGGAACCTCAAGAACCCGCAAGAACAAGCGCAAAAGTTTCCCAAGGAATTCCACAGAATAATCAATTTTTTAGCTTACCTAACTTGGGGCCCACATCCCCATTCTTTATTTATTTGTAAGATTTGTGCCCCAAAGAATTCCACTTAATTATCAGAGTAGAGTAGAGTTTGCTCCCCCTTTGGATAACCTTTGCATGTTGTGCGCTTATCGCTTACTTTTCGCCTGACATAATTCGTGATTACTTGAGAAAACCACAAAAATTGTGTGGCATAAATTTGCATGTATAATACTTGAGTTACATGCAGGAACAATATGGGCAGAGCTGGTTTATCCCTTAGGCCCACTCTTGATGTCCTTTTGTTTGCCATAATCCGCTCAACTGGCGACGCTGCTTAGTCCTTTTTATCCTGTTTTATGTCGCCTGTCAGCAGCAGCAATACACCGAAAGATGTACAGGAAATTAGAGCAACCTGATGGCTGATGGTTGTCCTTTCCTTTCCTTTCCGGCTGGATTTCAATCTCTAATGCTCACTAATGATTGCAAATATTTGTGCCTCAAGAGAAGGATTTGCTTTGTGTCTGCCCCGCGGCTCATGACTCATTGTGCGTCTCTTGGCTTGCTTTGGTTTAGTTTGGTCTAAATTTGAATGGTAGCAGCACAGAAATAAACCAGCAAATGAGACAAAAGGTCTGCACGCAATCAATTGTCACTTTCGACAGCATATTTTGAGCTGCCGTTTGTCTATAGATAGCCCAGCACTTTCCTATATATAGTACAGAAAAGAACTCTTTACGGGCCAGATCAGCAGATTATCGACAGTGAGTCCTCCATTCGTTGAGTGATCTAATATTGTACGTCATGAAAGTTTTTTGCTGGGATAAGTCTTTGTCATATTTTTGCCTGATTTATTCTCCTTACTGGATGCTCCATAAATCCTAGCATACTTTTAAGTAACAGCAAAAAAAAACAGAGAACCACGGAGAACCAAGTAACATCTGTGGCAGAGCCAAAGCACACCTCATAGCCGACACGGCGACGCATCTGTCACATCAAAAAGCATCAGAGAATCTTACAACGCTGCGGTAATTGGTGGAGCGATGGTTCTGATGCTTACACAAATTCTTGTTAAAATTGTGGAAAAAATAGATATAAATGGGAGCTAAACAAATGAGCAAAAGTGCGACGAAATGAACTTGTCATAATTATTTGACAGTTGGGGTAAATGTGTGGCTGCTGCTGCTGTTCCGCGGCACTTTAACCAGCAAATTGATGTAAAACATTTTGTAGGAGAATGGAAGGCAAAGGGGTACGATATCCGATTCGGTTTACTTTGAATCTCCTTTACAGTGTCACTGCCAGAGGGTTGTGCGGGGTCAAGTGGTCGCAGCCTGTGAAAACAAGACTCGACTCGACTCGACTCGACTCGACTCCATCTTGCGGTTGCGCCTCATTTCCGGTTCAATCAAGTGGCAGACAGCTTGGAGCATGATAAGATTCTCCGACTGGGGACTCCACCTCTTTCTACATCTCTCCGGGTTTCACTTAGGTGTGGCTGTTGTCAGTCAAAGTACGGGCGCAGACAGGCAGCTGCCCTTTCCACACACCCAACGGCAATCCCAACCCCACCCTATACCCCTACCAATTAAGCGGTTTTTTCTGAGACAAATTTGTGCGACCTTTGACTCGACTGGGTGAGGGGGGAGACAGTCCTAGAACACAGAAGAATGGGGCAGAGGAAGCCATTGCTCGTTAGCAATCGTGACAGTTTTTTTTCTCTCTCTTTTTCTTGAATTTGTACAATAATTTTTACCACGAAATGCATGGCCTGTTCGGGGCCTGACCCGGTCCCGAGCAATTTTCCAGGCCCTCTCTAAGCAGCACAAAAAAAATATCAGATTTCCTCGTTGCACATTTTCCTTCCATTTCCCGGGGCTCTGGGAAAAAGTGCAGCAGCAGCAGCAGCGGTGCCAGTGGCAGTGGCAGAAGCAGACTTTGGACAATTGGCAGCCAAAATGCCAACAAACAAATCATTCACATTTTGCCCATTGATTGGCGAGGCGGTAAAACGAAATTCGATATTCCTACGATATTCGGGATGGGATCGAGGAGAGTGCTGAGTGGAGTGAGTGAGTTTAGCCTCCGATTTCGATAAAGATGCCCATGCCAGGCAGCACCTGTTCGCAGATGGAAAGTTGTCCCCTCAACAGTTGGTTCTGTAACTTAGCTTTTCCACACTCTCTGTTCACTTTTCTAGCAATTACATTTAACGGAAATAATCAACTATTTTTGCTGCTACTATTTTTGCACAATTGTGGAACAGAAGCAGCACAAAAGTTAAATGTGGCCAAGGTCTGCCGGGTGCTGGGTGTAACCGATCCGTTGCAACTTTAGGGCTGCCACATACGATGAAACTGATAGTCGTTCCGGGCGGGGGACGGGCGGAGAGATACAAGTATTCGGTTGCCAGTTTGCCAGTTTGCCAGTTTGCCAGTTTGCCAGCTTGCCAGTCGAAGTGTTGCACACAGTTGGCACAGTTTGCGGTTCAGAAGGGAATCTCTTTCTGTCTGTAATGAAGTGATTTCTGGCTAACTTAGGCAATCATTTGGTTGGCCATTCAGCAGGTTTTTTTTCTTGCACTGATTTCAATTGGGAAATACTTTAATGAAAATAAATTCACATAGTACCCTCTACCCTTCGTTATGT